GCCCTTGAAATTGCCTGACTCATTACTGCTGCGGCACGGCCATGCGTGGTGATGGCAGGCTCAGAGAGAGAGAGCTCTTGGCTGGGATCTGACAGTGGGAGAGTGAAAGACAGCCCTGTTTTTAAACCACAAGAGGAACACTTCAAAGGCTGGCGTGCTCATTCTCCCTTTTCAAACACCGTCGTTTTCTACACTAAGGCAGAAGAGAAAAATGCTAAAGAGTAACCCCTCTGTTTTTTGTTTGATAAGGAGGAAATATGTAGCTATAAGAATGGTTTTAATCGAATACAGCACACAGGTGCATCTGGAAACTTTGAGTGACAGGTCTGTGTGGGCGAATCAACTCCACAGTAATCATTTCTTAAGCTGCGTGGGTTTTAGTCGAACTAGGACCAGCATTATTGCACAGCTGCCTGCTGCTATACCATTTATGGCGTCTATACTCAGTGGAACAAAAGTTTAGTCCCCAAATGTACATAGATAACCAGGGGCGGGGAGTCCTATTTCCCTTATTGTCAGGTCTTATATCGCCGTCAAGTAGAGCGGAAACCCAGCAGGATGGGTCAGTCTGTCCCAAAGCTGCGGCCAATTGCAGCCCACTGACAGCCTCTATCATCACTATTAAGGCACAGTGGCTGCTATGGGTTCCACTTTGTCCTCGGCAGGAGTTGAATGCCAACTTCAGGCCACAGTGGTGTGATAATAAGTGCACAGCCTCGTCCAACTCCAATCAGGGCTACAGTGATCCAGCCAACCTCTATTTAAGATGGCGCCAGTGCTCCAAGTGTGGCATTACTGAGAGAGGGAACTGTAATCTCATCACCATTAACCATGTAGCCTAAAACAGGCACAAGATGAAGGAAGTGGCTCTGTGGATAGGAGAGTCTGGCTCTCTGGTTTTAATGAGTTCAGAGTAAGATTGACAGGCCAAAACAATGTCACAACAAAATAACTTAAAATGATAAGACTGCTGTGTGGGTTAGTATTATCTAGAGGTTTCTAGGACTGATTCGGATACGTTTAAAGTTTCTGTCAAATAGATCGAGATCTGAAATGTTTTTGTGGGGAATTGGAGATTTTGCATTTAGAGTGCTTTCTGCTCTTGTACATTACATTCAAATGGTGTTTAATGCTGTCCAATATGACAGGGGGAATAAAACGCTTCCTAATCAGAATGCATTAGTTCCCTGTGAGATCTGCGCTCCTGACGCAAAGCCAGAGCCGCATACAAATCCTCCTCAATCCTACCTTAATGTCCTGTATGTTCATAAATATGGTGCACACGCAAGCAATTATCTGAATGGTGAATGTTAGCCAGATGTGTGCGCGTCACCCTGCAACGGTGTCGGTCCTGGATGTGTTTGTGCATTACAGATTTGACCGCAGGAGTGTTTACTGGAGGAAAAGGATGCTAGCAGCAGGAGGTAAAGCCTTCAACATAGCAACAGGAGTCAAGGCCTGAGGTCAGTCGAGTGACATGCCAGGCTAAGAGGCTTACGGCCTGCCACAGTCTAACCAAAGGCTGCCCTCGTCAGTGGACACTGGCCAGCCAAGCACACTGTCATCACACAGCTGACGGTGCCATGACATAACAGAAGTGCTGTATATCTAAACTCTTTGGGAATCTAGTGTGCTTGAAAAGATCAAATCCAAGGCTTTGAAAACTTTAATGTGGTGTTAAAGTGTTGAAAAGCTTATGTCGAATATAAGCCATTAATGGATGCATGATGATGTTTTACATGGATAACATTTATCACCCAGAAAATCTGTTCATTTGGCCAAAGCAGCTCTGGATTAAGAAAGAATACTTTTATATGCGTCTGTTTTTCATCACAGTGGCTGAGCTTAAAGGTTAGTGTGGAAATTAGATTTTGTATGTCTGATTGTGACATACAGTACACAACCATCAGTGTTGAGATGAGTTAACAACAACAACAAGTGACGGAGGACATGTCCGTGTCATCCTGCTCCTCTGGAAAGTAGGGTGAGAGGATGACGTAACTTAAGAGCAAACACTGCTGGGAAAATGGACAGTAATAGTGGACAACTATTGCTCAACATATGTGTGTTTAGTTTTTTTACCCATGGAACAAAATAGTCAATCGTCACAGAATAATAAATAAGGTTATTTGATAATACGAAATTCTCCTCCCCATCTTTGTGAGATATTGTGACAGAAGAGTTGTGCAGAACCACACATGATGAATTACATCACGCTAACAGAGACACAGGAGAGAGCAACATATTGAGACACAGAAGTAGAGACAGCTTACGCCAATCCCAAATCCCATGTGCCAAAGTGTCAAACAATTCAGCTCAAAAAACAAGCTTTGGCTCTCAACCTACCAAATCCTTACCCGTTCCCACCCTAGAAAAACCTTAAGGTTCATTTTTAAAGAGGCCACCAAGCTGGCATGGCATGAAGCCCTCTGGCCCAGTTAGTCAAAACACTGGAGCTGATGCTGCTGCACTTTAACACATCCTCCCCATGTTGTTTTGGCACTTCAGTGAAGCATTGTCGAGCATCATGCTAAAAGTGTGTGCCTGCAGGCGCAGCTCTCACACATTTGTTTTTATCTGACACCCAGCTCCTGCCTGCTCTCTGGAAGGAGAAATGAATAATAAGTTAACTTGTAAGTTGTCTGATATCACAGAGCATCACTAACACAGGCTTCTTAATTCAGAAAATAAACATCACAGTTACAGAAGACACATTCCTAATAACATTAACTTTGTAAAGTCAAACGAACGTGACAGAAACATAATTGTAACACCATCTGCTGCCTTGTTCTGATGTTTGAGTTTGCCTGCTTATCAAATCAAATCAAGTTTTATTTATATAGCACATTTTTAAAACGATTTTTGGTCAAGCCAAAGTGCTGTACATATAATAATTACCTTACAGTAAGGACACTTTACAGCAAATACAACAGCACAGTTTGTGCAGAATATCAGTATGAGAAAACGACACCCTCTGTCCTTTAGACCCTCACATCGTACAAGGAAAAACTTCCGGAGAAAAAACCCACAGTTTAAGGGGAAACATGGGAGAAACCTCAGGGAGAGCAACAGAGGAGAGGTTACGTAACAAACCACCCCACTTGTAGATCTGAAAAGACGAGTATGCCAAGCTCATCATGGGACACGGTTGTGTCCGATGGGGCCTCTGTGTGCTCGTACTCTCTTTCAGTATTGTGGATCTGAGAAGCCCCCAAAGCTCCTGCCAGAATACAAAATGCCAGAACACCACCTTGAAAAGAGCTCCAAGCAGAGGGACAAGCTGGTGTCCAAGAAAAGAGAAACATCTTGTGCTGGGCCTAATTACTTCTGCTTACGATTACACAGTTTTAACCTTTCTCAGGCTTCCAGTACAGAGCCTGATTGGAAATTAAAGAGCATTGATGTTCACAGCGCGGTTAATTATATTTAATGTAAAATACAGAAGGGCACCACTGTAGCTCTATACTTCCCACTAACCACATGACTATGTTTACATGTAATCTACTAATTGAATTAATTGTTCTTGCCTTTTATGCTTTAATTATCTCCTCACAAACACCACAATAGAGTTAATGTAAAGTCATCTATTTATATGCCGATTTTTGCAACTTCTTATTTTTTTACCGAAAATATTCAAAAATCAGACTTAGTTCATTGTGCACAAAGAATTTGAGGTCTCCAAACTGTGATTTGCTTCTCTTTTTTTCTCAAAGAGCTGTTGATAAGCACAACATCAGAATCTCTGAACACTCATACATGGCGTCAGCTTTGAGTAAATAAATCCTATTTATCAATTCTGTCTCATTATTTCATCATCAGATGGGATTTATCATTCAGCTGCAGTCTCCATACATACCTGCTCACACAGAGCAGTGAGCTTGACAGTGTCAAAGATACACTTTCAGCCTAAGGTCAAAGTAATGACAAGTCGATCTTATTGATACAGTCTCTTCAGCAGGGGGCAACTCAAAGTTACAGTGTCTTTGAAATGTTAAAAATGCTGACCTACAGTAAAGCTGATAGTACTGCATTAACCTCAATATTAAGAAGTATTAGCGTAACTGTGAAACCAAAAGCACAGATTATATTAGTGTCATCCACACTAAATGCTGAGCGTGCATGGCTGAGAGTAAACAATCAACATGTTGGCATGTTTCTTATCAGAAGGTTCACCTTTATGTCTGCCAAAAAACTGCAAACCAAATGGTTTTTATGTTACCTAGAGCTGATCTCAATATCTTCATTGGTAATAACAGACTTAAGAAAAGAGACTGACTACACAACATTAGACTGGAATGTGTACATACTGGAGCAGAGAAGGAACGGGATTAGGAGCTTTGTTTCACAGTTATTGGATTTTGGCACTGTGGGAAATGAATTATCCAAACACTGAGAGGAGTGCAAACACTGAACCATTCCTGTTAATGTGGAAAACATGATTCAGTGTAACACATATGAAACATTAACATAATCTTTGTAAGGAATCTCATATAGAAAATGTCACTGTCATGAAACATATTATTGATCTTAATTTAAAAGGATCTGTTGTTGTTTGCAATAAAAAAAGAAAAACTTTCTGCATTAAATATCCTTACTTCCAAATTCAAAATGAGACGGACCACAAGTCTTATAATTTATCTTATACACACACACACTTTAAAAATATAGCACTCAAACCACATTTTCGAAAATATTTCCAGAATTTAGCCTTTAAAAAAGAAATAATTGCAGGCAATATAAAAGCCTGGTTTGACATTTATTCACATAGGTTTCACTCCCCAGTACCTATGCCACTTAAAGTTCTCCGAAGCAAAGCACAATATTTCCAAACCTCTTCAGTGTCGCTGCTCTGTGGCAGTGGAGGACTGAACTGTCTGGGCAGCTCCATTGGCCAAATGAGTGCATCTGCTTGAATGTGGCACTGAGTGTTGATAGGTTTTGACAAAATGTTAGCTTCACCCTTGCTAATGAGCTGTCAGAGTGTGTCTGCCATTACTAACCTGTATCTCCTCAAAAGCCTCGTCAATAGTGGTGACTTGGTGCTGCTCGTGTAGCGCTGGCTCGTCGCAGAAAAAGCACACCAGGCTTTTGTCGGTGAGGCAGAAGAGCTTGACCTTCTCGTGGTCCTTGCAGGGGTATGAGCTCCTCTGAGCGTTGAGGATGGCGTCCAGCGGGAAGGCTGAGTAGCGCTCCACAATGTTGGACAACTTGAGGCTGGGCGAGAGATGAGGATCGGCGAAGGTCCTCCGGCACTCAGGACAGTCCCTCGCTCCGTGGAGCTCCTGCCTGCTCCAGTGCTCAGTGATGCACTTCCTGCAGAAGTAGTGCTCGCAGCCGAAACTGACGGGGTCCTGGTAGATGCTGAGGCAGATGGAACAGAGGAGCTCGTCCTTTAAGCAGCAAGCCATTTGCAAAGACGGAGACTGAGTGGCATCTACGAGGGCAATGTTCTGGAGCTGAATGTACTTAGTTTAATCTTCAAGTCAGTGGTTTACTGCCATGTGGGGGTGCACAAGACAAGATGACAAGATCCTCAGGAATCTTCCGCTTCAACGTCTCTGTTGAAATACGACAAACACAAACAATTAAAAATAATATTGTATTATACACTTCAGTGCATGGGCTAATGCATTTATACAAACAGATCATTAACAGGAGCTGGTTACACAGTAACCAACAGTTAATGCCGTCACGTTTTAGGTAAAAACGGGAATCACTTAAAAAATCCAACTTCTTTTAATCTGAGTATTGTTTTCTTAGCATTTCAATATAGTGTATTGAACACCTTATGGGGTTTTAACTGCAGGATGGACAGTCATAATAATAACTCATCTTAAAATGTCCCCTCGTCTTGGAACATTTTATTTTCACAACTTTCTCTTTATTTATTTTTCAGACCAAATGCTTTGCTGCATCAGAAAACAATTCCTGAGGAATTGATAATAACAATTATGAATGGAATCCATTTTATGCCATTAGTTTCACAAAAGAGCAATCTAGTTTCATTTTGTCAGCAAGCCCCTTACCTGAGGTAACATCTAAATATGCCAATGCTTTTATGAAAATACTTTCCCACCCTGCTACACCCTTTTCCCCTGTCATTGTGGAGGATCTGTTGATTTCCAAAGCAAACTGTCTGCACCAACCAACATAACAGCGAAACACCTGCAGCGGTATTACCCCCGCTGCTCTCTTTTTCCTACCCCGGTGTTCAAAAGCTTCCTTTTAATTCCCATTAGAAAGCCGACTGGATGTCTTAGCATCTACCACATACTGTAGAGACACTATTTGTGCTATATCTTAGCATACATGCTTTTTTAATTGGCTTACTCCACATTGCTTGCAAGCTGGATTTGTAAACATAACAGACCAGGACCACGACACCACCAACCACACCGGGAGGATGAGAGGGTAAGACACAGAAATGGTGCGAAATTAATTGAAAATGCAATACATTTTAAAAGTTGGATTCGGGGAAGGAATGTTAGCGGTAAAGTTGTATTTATATGACAACTGATAATCGAAAGAATGGGGGGGGAAGCCTGAACTCACCGACTTCTTCACAGCAACATCCGTGGCTCCAATGCAAGTGTAGAGTACTGTCTTTCAGGAAGGAGAGCAGCTCACAGCGGCAACAGACGCAACCAACTGCACTCAACGGAGGGGGGGTTATCAAACATATTCATTACAAGATAACTGCTGTTTGTTGATAAATACGTAACGAAAAGGAATGTGAGATAATCTATTACTTAATTCAGAAATGTAAGTAATTGAATTACTGTTTACAAGCCTAAAATAGCATTATAAATGTAACCTGTAATGTAGTGTAACTTAATCGACAAATGGAGTGGCTCAAATTTCCTCAATCTCGTATTAGCATCGCTGCCTAGCTACCTTGATTACAACAAATAAGCAGGCTAACATACACGAAATGCAACTTGATTCGTTTGACAAACTGTTTGACCCCATTAAAAATATAAGCGTATGAGTTGACATGAGAATGGACAGTCACTAGTGTTCACTGTTAAACGCGTTAATGGGCCGAAGGAGAGGGGCTTCGGCGGGCTGCAGTGTTCGCCTTCAGCCAGCAGATGTCAGCAGAAAACACCTTATTCGTCCCGGTGCAGGAGCTGGAGGTCCTTTAACCTCTTAAACAGCGGCTGTTATGGGAGAGGCTCAGGTTAGTATGTGCTGTAATACATTTGGATACATTAGTGAGTCCCAAACTTTATGGGAAAAGTCTCTCACTTTTGTGTATGTTGTCTTCAGTTGTAGACTATTACCAAGTAGTAATTGGTATTTTAATCAGAATCAGAATACCTTTATTTGTCCCACAGAGAGGACATTTAAAAAAGATGGGAAATTTCCAAATACATTTTACGTGAATATCGTAATTGAATATACCGAATAATACGATTTCACTACACTTCAAATGGCAATAGTACATTTTACTTGAGTCCAATTTTGTAAAGCTGTAGTTTGTTTTCAAAGGATGGGTTTGTTAACAATACATAGGCTACGAGTAACACAAATATACGTAATGCATTATTAGAAAACAAATGACCCAAAAAGGGACCCGTTTCAACATGACATTTTATTACAAAGCGATGCATTAGAAGTAATGTAATACAATCATAATATAAAACTGACAGCTTCTCAGCTGCCTTTTTATTGTATAACTTATTGCACTACACCACTGAAATCAAGACTATATTTACATTTGTATTTACTGTATATACATAAACATATCGACAATTGATTACTTTGAGATGGAAACCAAGCTTCGATTGTTGTCTTCATAAAGACTTGCAAAATATACAAGTGCATCTCTTAACCAATCAGATTGTTTTCAATGTTGCAACATGACAGAAAGAAAAATAAGGATTTATCAGTCTCTCATGCCGGTGACTCTTCATGTGTGTAACTTTCATTCTCCTGCACTGACATCAGTGATTCTTTTCCGGCTTCTTGTTGCGGGATGCTTAACAACTCCTCTTCATCTCTAAACTGGAGTTGAGACTCTATATGTGTGCCATTCGGTGTCCCACAAGACCCATTTCCTATGTTTACAGTGATGTTGACAATGGGATTGGTTGTTAGAGGGCTGATGACCTGAGGGCTGGTGGGCTGAGAGGAGGACTGTGGGGGGACGCTGGCCTGGGGCTTGACGGGCTCCATGTCGGATATTAAAGTAATTAAACGCTGGTTTTCCCTTAAATAACCCTTATCGATCTGCAATAGAAAGGAATGAAAAGGTTAATTCTCAGTGTTCTGTTTAACAGGTATTCACTGAAAAAAAAAAAGAGAGAAAGACTCACTTTATCCCCACTTTCACAATTTCCATTTGCATCCACTCCAGGAGGAAATCTTGCAGCATCTGGGTTAAAAACTGAGTAAGCAAAGAGTCAGATAGTGAAAATGTGAGACCAACAGCTCCTGATAAAGTTGATGACAAATAAGGGTCATTATCGTCCTGAATTTCAAGTTGAAGATAAATGTAACATGTATACAATCATAGCTTTTCCATAAAACGAGTACATGATTAAAGGGGAAATATTATGAGAAACTAGATTTTCAGTGCTTGTGCACAAACATTTGCATGCAGGTATATTCATAAAGATAACATAAGGTAAACAATGTGTTTTTGAACAATAAAGAATGTGAACATCTTCTCAAATTGAATTATGAACCTAGAAATTAGCATAATATGTGTCCTTTAAAAGAAAATCAGGATGCAATTACCTTTCTTCCAGCGTGGCTTACAAAGAAACAGAAGAATGATAGCGATGAAAACAAGTAATCCAATAACACCGGCGAGGACCGCAGGTACCATAGAGTCTAACACACAAACGACACATGGGCAGAAGGGGGAATGATAAACCAATGATTAGACCTTACAATTTTCTCAGCATGACTTCATTTGAAACATTAAATCAGTTAGTTACCGTACCCAGTGTACTGTCAGGTGCTGAGCTTGTTGGGGGGGGTTTTGTGGAATAGTCGAATACGTCCCCTGAAGCAGATGGGCTTAAGGACAGTGTGGAGTCTGGCGGTCCACGTGTAGTTTCAGAGGTCACTAATAATAATAATGTACTCATCACTTCAGTTGCAGTTGTGAACAACATCTCAGTGGGGGGATTTTTCGTTGAGGTTTGTGACTGCGTGTTTGCATTAGGAGGCTCACACATCGTGTCTGAGATCGCATCACCTTTTTTGACAACAACCCTCCCATAGCAGCTGCAGAGAAACAGAGAGAGAGGTCAAAGATCTGAGCTCCAAACAGCTGAGTATAAACGTGATTATTCTTCACTCACTTTGTGTGAGGCTGACAGTGGTCAACAGATGAAACTGTGTCAGAGAACGTTCCATTGAGGCACCGTTCACACATCACATTGGAGTTTCCTGTCCCTGAGAGAAACACCCAAAACACCAACATTTCACTTGCAGGCATCACATGACATTTTAACGCTATGATACACCCTGTCTGTAACATGTTATCAATTGGATTACATTGAAAATCAAGTTTGACAGTAAATGTGGTTGATTAAGACCTTTGAGACATGTATGTAACAACTTTTATGATATGACATTTATTACAGTATACATAAAAAACATTGAAAGTCAATTGGAGATGTCTTGACATTTATACTTGAGTCCTTACTCTGTAAACTATAACTCTATTCTTGATACATGCAATATCCAGTAATTGATGATCAGATCTCACACAAATTGGATTTTTCAATTTATGTCTAAATTGAAACCAGAATATTTAGGAACTACATGTAAGGTAAACACACAAACAGTGACAATTGAAAAATACTAGTTGCTGTACCTGGACTATGCAATCCCCAGCCAGCTCTGCATGTCTTGTAATTGCTACAGTATGATGTGCAGTATTTGCCATCAAATCCCATGTTGCAATACTTTCCAGGCTGACACACACACCTGGACCTTGAGGAAGAGGAGCAACTCTGGGCCTCTTGCAGACCTTTAGCTTGTTAAATGTAGAAAAATATAGTGATAGTTGTTAAAAATAACAACAATGAATTATTTCCTCCAAAATGTTATATTCAGAGATGTTCAGCTCAGCTATACTCACCTATTTTGCATCTGGCACAGGTGGCGCAGTTTGGAGCGTAGTTCCAGTTCTCCATGTACTGGCGCGTTGGACATTCTTCACACACAGTTTTATTCGTTTCTGAGCATTCATGTTTCATTTTCTGTCCTGTGAGAATATGTACACGAATGACTTCACAATAATACACATGTCAAGGCATTTTATAACAGCACATGGGCATTGTAATTTCAAAATGACCATTAACAGACAACAATATAAAGGTTTAAAAGATACATTTCACATTTGTCTCACGCAATTCGGTGTATATCATAGTATTACACTTTCTTGGTTTTCCTGGTTAAAAGATATCATCCCATCTTTATGCCTAAAACAGTGCTGCTCATCATAGTTAAAAATAAAATGTTGATACCTGTTTGTATAGCACCAAATACTGGTTAACATGTATTTTATGTCTTTGAAGGTTTTTACTATTTCTATACTTACATATTTTGGTACCACTTTACAATAACACTACCCTTATAAAGGGTTTACGAATAGTTTGTAATTCATTTATTAATTAGGTTGTGAACACCTTATAAATCATTAATAAGCTTTTATAAACAGGGCAACTGTGACCGGTTGCTTGCCAAATAGTGAGCCCACATGTATCTGTACTGCTAAGCCTTATTATAAATGGTAGTAACTCATTAATAAATGGGAATGTGTTTTACACTTTACAATAAGGCTCCCTTTTGGCAACTATAAATGTTAGTAACTCGTAAATAAATGGTCATAAAGAGATGCCAAGAAACATCAAGATGGAAGGGGGGCAATCAACTCAGTGAACAACAGATACCAAGGATGCTGGCTGATGAAGAAGACGAAGTAAGCTAAGTAGCCAATATAAGGCTTAGTCCTCTTGCCAAATAGTGAGCCTGTGTTGATGTATGAAAACTATGTTAGAACTGGTTTACAAATGGTTCTTAATGATTAATAAAGTGTTTACAACCTAATTAATAACCTAATTATCAACCCTTTATGAATCCTTTATAAGGGTAGTCTTATTGTAAAGTGGTAACCATATTTTTAATGTATAGTGTTGAAGATGTGCTCATTTTGAGTTCAGTAAGAGATGGAGACTTTGCAATTTAGTACACACATTTTACAGCTAAAATAAATACAAATTAACACTTGCTGCTACCCGCAATCACTGCATGGTAGAGATGTGGGATGCAAAACAATTAACTCCACACTGAGTGGGAGAGATGAGGTCAGCAGGCACATGAGATCAAATTACTGTGTGAGCACATACGCAGTTTCCAGACTCCAATCTTTACAAGAAGATTGGGAAGGTACAGGGAGGACAGATATAACGATAACATCTCAAAGGAAAATGCACACTGACAACATGCGTTTATTAATATGTATACTTTTGATTGTGTTTCTACGTTCCTGAATTGCAACATTGCCACACTGGCTGCACCCCCATCATAGTAGGTTATTGTGACAATCCGAAACTTCGCATTTAAACTGGAATTTTCAAAAAAACTGACAAAAGTCTTGATTCATTTATGTAAATTCAGCTGTTTCTTTTTTGAAAAGTGAAATATATTTTCAATAGATACCTTGTCATGTGACCCAATGAGTCCAAATCAATGGAGCATTGTATTCATTCACAGGATGAGACACACCTCTTTTCAAAAACACTTTAAATCACATTAAATAAAAATAAGTGTTTGCTACTTGTCCAGTATAATACAGTAATACAATTCTACATTGATTTGGAGTAACTGAGTAACAATGCATTGCATTTTTTGAAAAAGAACATCCAACTTGAACAAATAACTGTCATCAAGTGAAAAGTGTACACGATAAACTACATTTTTGTTGTCTGAGATGAAACAAGGAAATGGATAAATGTCACAGGAACAATAGGTGGTGTTTATCTTACCCAAGCTGGCTGACATCTGTCATCAAATCCCTTTCATTTTGTACAGAGACAGCTTTGTCTTTCAGTACAGAATGTAACTTAACATTGAGTCCATTATAAGTACATTTAAAATCTTCAGAGATTGCGATCTTTGCTGTGTTTGCAGGACAGCACTTACCAGGGGGGCATTTCTGGCAGCACAGGTCAGTTCCTTCTAACAGATACTCTGTTTCTGAGTTGAGACAGTTTCCATCTGCGTCTGCGTGATAGGGCTGAGAGCAGACCTATGGGAAATAGAGACGATAATTGAATGCAATCATCTTATGCATTTGAGACAAAGAGTGTATATTGTTTAAATGCTCTGTTTAAAAGAAGCTGCATTAAGGCTGCTGGGGGGCTTTAAGTTAACTAGTCATTTAGAAATTCTGAGAAGCGTTCTTTTAGGCCACTTTTGTTCCAGACAGACATATTTCCTGGAAGCACGTATAGTCATTAGGTGAAAGAGAAAATAAACACATTGGTCCATGACTGGTTACATTTTTAACCCTGCTAAATAAAAGCTTAAATTAGTGCCAAACTACCCACACCAGCGCCCACATCTGCCTTTCTAGTAATGCTGCTGGCCTGAGCTGCAGACTTCAAACAGGCAGTCATTGTTCTGAATTTGAAGGTGCATTTCACCGCTATGGTGTCTCTTCCTCTCTAAAGAGCCTTCTAAAAATGTTCAGGCTCCGGACACTGCACACATGCACCCTTGCAGTAAAGCAGGAACAACCTCCCCCTACCACACATACTAAATATCATGAACACATGCTGCTGAAACCACAGTAATGATGTGCATGTGATGTGTATTGATGTGCATGACACAGAGCAAAGTTGCTGATACACCTGTCCTGTGCACGAGAGTTGAAAGGCTTTCACCACAGTACCCTCCACTGACAAGCAGAAGAGAGAATATGCTGACAGAAGCAGTGTGTTTCTCGGATTACAGGAAACAGGAGGTGGGTTACAGTAGAAGCCCTTGTTTCTGAAGCCCATTCTGTCGTGTGACCGCAGGTAGCAGCGGATGTGATGATAAACACATGGAGCTCTGCGCTATTAATTACCTCGGCTTATCACAAAATTGTTTTTTTCCTTTTTCCCGTGGCTGCATGCCCACACTTACTTATCCTTATCAACAGAAACCGAAATGATACTGTAAACTAGTAGAAAGGATGTTGCTTAATGTCATAACGTGATAATGAAAAGGCATCATCATCATGACCATGCACTCGAAACCAAATATTCAGACAGGTTCAACACATCAAAGTCAGATTACAGACTACTGTAATACAACATTGTGTCCTACAGTGAAAAGCTGACATTGATACAGCAAAAAAACGTTTTAAAGAAATAATAAATTCCACTTAATTGGCTCCCGGACAGGTAACACAGTTAGCTGAACTAAAAACATATTTAAGACATCAAATGTATAAATTAACATTTCAGAGTAATAGAACAGAAATCATATTACACCTTATTTAAATGCTGATTTTCCCTTTTGGTTTCTCACTACTTTGAGTTAATTAAGGAAGTTCAACTATATTCAACAATTCACATTATGTTTGAACAGTTTGTCGGACATCAGAAGAATCCGGATGCTGGCTGATATCCAGCCTGTCCAGAGTCCTTGTTATACACAGCAAACATGCATGACAGATTCACACACAGACACAAAGCCTACCTTGGTAGTGAAGCCATTCAGGAGAACCAGCAGTACAAGTATGTCCTTCATTGCCTCTCTAAAGCAGGTTGTAAACTGTAGAGGACAAAGTCACCAGCGTGTACTTATCATTTTATAAAGGCGGGCCAGCAGTCTGTGCTATGAGGAGCCATTTCCTTGAACTGAGTCGAGTGTTTGGAGGAAGGAAACAAGCAGGCAGGCTCTGAAATGCACTGAGATTGTGTTGAGATGGGGTTAAACACTCATGCTGTGCTCCCAGCTGATATTAAGTGTCTATATACAGGATAAAAACACAATTCATAATAAATAAATTAATCTTTCTTTACCTGCAGCTGATTAGGGGAGCAATGCAATGGCTGTACACTCCCTTTTAAATGTACATAACATAACATTTTAAAACACTGCATGAAATAACTTTATTGTTGCTTTTTTTAAACCAAATCTGTTTGCATTAAAGTTAACATGATATAGTGGTCACATCATTAATTCATTAATAAGTTAAATGGAGATCACCTCTGTCTAGTTAAGCGGGTCCTATCTTAGAGATCCAACTTTTGGTGAATTGTTTGCAATACCAGAAATCCTTTCAATCCAAGAACAATATTAAGGTCTCACTGCTGGAATTATAAATACTGACCCCCTTATATGACAAGTTATTATCTAATTTCACCATTCATTAATGAACTTGAATAGCATAAAGGTTGCAAAACAATTAAAACATGAAAACTAGGAAACTTTCTATGCTGCTCCCTCGGTGATTAATCTGCTTCTATCAGTGGCAAATTAACAGAACTGACTGACAGAAACTGTCCAAAAAGGTCAACTACCCAAACAGGAAGTGGGCCCACTTGGATATTCATTGTTATTCATACACATAGTTGTGTGTGCTGGTGTGCTGCATCAACTGTAAAAGCAAAAGTGTTAGGCAGAATACGAATCAGGATATTAATCATTTCCAAGTATGGTTAAGAAACCGCGCTGCTGTTTCAATGCTGTGGCAGAATATTGTGGTTAAAAATAACACTATACATGTATTTTTGTTCCACATAAGTGATTTCAGAAATCCCTTTAACCAGAGGCTCTAAAGCAAACAATAACAACATCACCAACTTTACACATTGAGCTCCCTGTGCACATGTGGGAATAAAGGTTTCTTTCATTGCACTCCAGGCACTGAGTAATGTAGTCAAAACATGTCTTCTTATAACCCACCCTGATCCTGTGTGAGATGTTGACATTCCACAATTTTCACAACCCACAACATTTCTCTGGTACTCATATACACCAAGAGCATTACTGTTTTTTTTTTATATAATCATAAATACACAGTTCACTCACAACAGCAGAAGTGAAACCTTTTGGTTTTAGGTTTGCCAAATTAAATCATAGTATTAACATATTAGATGGCAGACATGCTACCTCTTAAAATCAGGTATGAAAATACTGCCTGGCTTTATTCTCTCTTGCTGAAGTCACATTCTTAAATCAATATTCAGGGGTTTTCAGTCTGATGATATGTTTACTGAACTGAGAATATAGAGCAGGCATGATGTCATTTGGTCTGAAGTGAGCAAGTTTCATATCCTGTTAACTTATGTGTCAAAAGGGAACATACGGCTGTCTGAGGGTTAAAGAAAGGCATTGAATTACAAAGAGAGCTAAACAATTCAGCGTGCTTTTATAATAAACTGGTATGGTTATTAGCTGTACTCAAGTTTGTAAAATGATGATAATCCCCTGGTTAACTCCCTTTGATTAAAACCAATCAGCTGGTATTCAAATATCATTGAGGTTCTGAGCACTTCTAAGTCTCTAGTGTTTGATAAAGGTTTATTGATCTTACATCTAAGATCTTTTATTAAGATGTTTCAGTTTCAACTCAACTCCATATAATAGCTGTCCAATAAAAATGGGCAAAGCATAACAAATGCATATAAGGATTTGAAGATATGATACGAGAACAATGATATAAACTTCAGAAGCAGCATTTCCTTTCACCACTGCTTGTGGTATAAAAAAAAAATCAATCACTAAGCCTCATTTCACACAAAGCTTCCCAGATGTGAGATAATGATGAGATGACGAGCACACTGCAGACACTTTGCTTTGAACAAGCTGTTTGTGCTATAACTTCAAAGAGAAGCAGGTTCCTCGCTCAACAGGAACTACAAGAAATGCATAGATATGTTCCTGTTGAAGTGACTCACACCAAGAATAACAATACATTGATGTTTCCTTTACTTGGACGTTTATTTTGTTTCATTCAACGTGTCCAAACACATATACTTAATTCTTCAAATATGTAAGACTGCAAGACACACATTGGAAAATCTGATGTGTCGTAAGTGGGATTGCTACAGACTTTAGGTATAGGTTGGTGGGGTTTCCTGTAAATCATGCTTCTGTCTGACAGTCAGGAAGTGTCAAAGGAAGTTAGAAACAGAAGTATGTGTGAACCTGGGAGCCAAAGCAAACAGCTGGAAAGGGCAACAGAGAGGACTCACAATGATTTGTTCATGTGCCATTCTAAACAGTCTGCACTGTGGGGTAACATTATGAGCTGTTGCTTCACCTTCACAAAACTGCTGACACTCACATGTAGAGTCTAATTCTGTCCCAACTTGGAAGATCAGCGGTTTGATCACTGCCAGTCAGCATGTTAAAGTGTCTCTGGGAACTACACTAAACCCCAGATGGCTTTTAAAGACATAGCTATTGGTGTGAGTGTGTGTGAATGTTGGCCTATTATTGTAAAAGTAGAGCTATATAAACGCATTTCCATTTACTGGTAAACTGGCTTGTAATTAGTCACATGACATGGAATTTCCATCTCTAACTCATTACATTTCAGCACCTGACATATTTGAAAAACATGTTTTAAATGAATCTATTTAAAAGAGAAAGCACTTACTACTGTCGTTTCATTCCCTTTTAAATCACTGTTTGTTTGTTTCATATTGAAGAATAATACATGAGCAAATAGTTCAGAAATAGTTTTGGGTGGGGACAAATGGCTAACAGGAACTTTTATAATCACTTCAAAATAGCCTTTGATTGTCTGTCAGTGCAAAGGGTAAAATGTGCTTCCTAGTTTTCTTTTGGAGGAGAAGTGTTGGAAGTTGTGACGAGCCAAGCGAGACACATCGGAGACCTGGTTTTCGGACACTTTGTGTGAAGAGAGATCCTGAAAAGTATGAAAAGCACCAAATGAGAATATTAATATGTCTGAATTAAAAAAGGTCTGGATTATTTTAGGTCGAGACAGAAAGCCTGTGGTGTCTCACCTCGAGTTCCTTGTTCTCTGACGTAACGAGACTGCTCCGCAGATCGAGGCTGCTGGGGGGGGGCAGCATGCTCTGAGCTGTGTTGGACCAGCCTGAGAGACAGTGCTGGACAGGACCAGGGTAATACATGAAGATAAAAATACTTTAGTACACTGATAAAACTTAAGTTTAATTTATGTCAAACTAAACATATAGATTGGCATGTAAAGATCTCAGAGGGGAAATGGCACGTATTAAAAAGGCATCAATTATCCTACAGTGGGGTCTCTTACTCACCGAAGGTAACCCAACACTATCAGAGGGGTCAAAACTGCACCGGCGATGAGCTTTGTATCTGTAAGGAGGCAAGAGGGTGGAGCGAGGGATGCTGACCCTTAAAAATAAAACAAAAGATAAAACACATGAGGCAATAGAACCGCTGCAACATTCATAAAACATGGTGCAAGTTGAATTTAAACTTCACAAAATGGTATTGTTGATTATAAGAGTTATCTATTTAAAATACAACAAACAATACAGTTTTTGGGTTCTTTTTCGGGGCAACCAGTGCCTTTATTACAGTGATAGATATGAAATGGGGAGACACAGAGGGTGACATGTGGCAAATGGTCCCGAAAAAATGGCTGATCCAGGCAATGCTTTTATGTGTGGGCATTGCATGGATTTGAAAGTCCTAGTCAACCTGTTCCTGCAGGAGTTTTCAACATTCTCAAATTATGGACCCTCAAAAAGACAGACTAGCAATTATTATTACATATATTTTTCACTTTTTAATAGTTAAACAATGGTTGATAATACTAAGGGAATGGGTGACTCCTGGGATACCTGAGGATGCCTGACCATACGCCTTGCCTTTTATTCTGCTTTCAAGTGTTTAAAAGAACACACTTAAACAGACTTCCACTTCAGGTACCATTATCCTGTCGTCTTGTGCAAAGTGCTTTGTTGTTTCTAAGTTGTCATAGCAGGCAGTAAAGGTGAACATGATCAATACCTGATGAGAGCTGGATCAGCAGTAGTGTGAGGATTTGAGGATTTGAGCTCTTTGCACACAGGGCAGCTCTCCTTAGAGTGAAGTGGGACGGGGAACAGTCTGCTGTTAATTCTGTAAGAGAACGTACCTGAAAAAAGGAAAGCAGGCGTACATGAGAATTGCTTCTGCCATCATGAAAATAAAAATGTTACTAGTCTACTCAAATAAATAACCCTCTTACATTGATGAGTGTCAGTGCTGGCCTCTGGACCGTGTTTGTTGGTTAGCGGTGGCAAGACCGATTGGTACTCCTCAGGAAATCTATGAGAAGATCAAATTAATAGTAACTTAATGATGGCATCATCAATCGCAGGCAGACCTAACAACAAAATCACCAGTAAGTGCAATCAAGGGTGAAGCACTCACTCTGCTTGTGGGCTGTGGACACAGTCGTCTTTATTTAGTGATCGAAATGTGCGTAGGTCATTGAAGAACTCGTCAGAACGCTCTATCAAGGAGTCCTCAGCATCCAGGACTCCTTGGAGGGAACAAACATCACCTGTTAGGGCTCTTTTTAATGGCTGTGTGTATCAGAAATGAACAGGAGGATCAATAAGGCATACCTGCTATCCAGTCATATCCCAGCAAAGGCTGCAAATGATGCCTGTCTGAGGCAGATATCTCTTCGTATTCATCAGACTGAAATGTGACGCGACTCTGAACATCCCCCTTTTTAAAAAACAAACATGTGATGCAAAGTATTGGTGACAAGCATGTTTCACTATCAGCAAATCTGCTATTTGAATGCATAGTTTCATACAAAGCCAACACATAGCATAACATGCACAGTGTTAGGCTTGTCATTGTGTTTTTGTACTGAGCAAAATATAGGAAAATCAAGAAGGACTTTTGGAAACAGAGCAATTGTTTGACTCCAAATTAACATTTTATTCTATGATCAAGGTGCTACACATGGTTCTTTTTTCTGACCTGTTCTTTGCTGTGATTTACGAGACTGGACTTGGTGATGGCTGGCCTCATATCCTGCAGCCTGCTGTGGACCAGAGGATGAACGTTGTTGCTGTCCTTGAAAAGGTCTGATGATGTTGTATGTTGAGCAGTCTCTTTTTTGTATTTGGAGGTACAAGACGGTGTTGAAACAGAGCTCTGGGTGCCTATCCGTCTCTCACATGTATCTGATGGAGCACAGGGAACATACAATAATTTCTGCACATGACAGTTTTGCAGAGAAATGCAAAGTGATAAAAAATGTAAAGCAACCAAAATACAGTAAAAACATCATAGCACAGGTAATAGCATAACATATCAGTAGTAAGGCCTAGTTTGACCAAAAAATGCAGACCTCTAGTTGCACTTACTAGCTGTTTCTTGACCCTAAAACCAAAGTTTCATACTTTTGATCTGATCTCTATCTCCAATATATTAAAGCTAGTTAGTGGTTCTCGAATTATGAAGTACTTCGTAGTTTTTTTTAAGTTTAGCTACCTGTAGTGTCTCTTTTAAATACATTTTTGACAAAACATATGCATAGCTTTACGTTTTAACTCCAAGCTAAGGATCTACCGTTTTATCGTTGCTTTAAACAATATTATATAGAAAATTGCACATCTTAGACGAAACACCAGTATTTTAAGTTTGCTAGCTCACTTACTTAGCTAATACCTGCAGACGTCTCTCGGGTATTTGACCTCGTTTAAAGAACAAAACGGTTTAATTACCGGAAAATCTCACGGTAGGTTTGGCGAGGCCTGCCCGGGAAGAGCCCTGGCCTCCCCGGGTCAGGGTCCGGTTCTCCTCGGGGTCTCTCCTCTCCTCGGGGTCTCTCGTCTCCCCAGCCTCGTCCTCTCTCTCCCTCTTGCGGCTCTGCCTGCAGCCGCTCAGCCGCTCCAGTTTCTTTCTCTGCTGCTTCAACTGGTTCAACAAGTCTTTGTTAAGCTCTCTTAAAATGTCCACTCGGTCTGTGGAGGACATTCTTTAAATATAATACGACGTTAAAGCAAGTTTATCTAATTCATTGAGAGTGAAACAAAGAGCAAAAAACTCTTCTGTGATTTAAACAACCAGAGTCCATAACAACGTACTGACAACAATGATTTGATTGGCTGTGAACGTTCTTCCCACCATGCCTCATCTTAAAGTGACAGACACACATTTTGTATTCGAACTGCAGGACACTATGTTGAACGACAGAGGACGCTATTTACTAAATTAATGACTGGAGAAAGCTGATAGTGGTCAATGCATGGATAGTAAGGTCAATAACATGGTTGAAGAAATAGCACATTGTATGTGATTGTTGATGAGAATATCATTGTCTGAATGTACTGCCTGAGAGTGTTTGATTACCTGAAAGTCAGCCTATGTTAACTTATGGTGGTGGGATGTTTTTTCCCTAAGACTTAGGTCAAAACTAATTCTGAAACTTATAGGGTTCACCTTTCCCGTTTTCGGAGTAGCATAAAATCCATGTTAAGCAGGGCTGCCCCTCCCTACACGCAGATCACGCAGACTGCGTGAAATAAAATATAACTGCAGCAAAATGGATAAATACTGTGAAGCACACTTAAACTCGAAAAAATATTGCTGAAGACATACCAAGCCTTCATAGCCTAAATAGTAATACCTTAGCTGCCCCGGAACACAGGGACAAAACAGAAAGCCATATTAGGTAGAAAAGAGGAATAAACTTCAGGCTGAGTGGTTTAAAGAGGAAACTCCTACAAGGACATCTACCAGATGTGCAACAACAAAGTAATGAGCCCAGGAGTACCATGGAAGAACAAGTACATCCAGTCAACAAGGTTTATAAAAGCATAGATTCCCATTTCAAGATCATGAATTTTATGATCAGTTTATGTTAAAATCTTTAGAGGCTTCTGAGAAGTATCTTAAATCATACTTGCTCAGAGATTTACAGCATGCAGAGACAGACTCTTTTATCCACTTGTGCACCCTATCAGGAGGAAATTGCTGGTGCACATTGTCAGAAAGCTGCTAAAATCCACTTCACGGTCTGACGTCTTCCTCGCTGCTAGAGAGGACAGATGTTACATGAGAAGAAACACAAACATCTTGAAATGTCAGATGAGTGGATAACCAATGCCTTTAAATGACAGCAGATCATAGCATTTGAATTGTACACTCTTTATTAAGAACCTGTTAAATGAATTGCCTCTCTCGTAGATGTATTAGTTTGATAACTTTTTATCAGAGAAGGACTTTTTTAGTTATGGTTCACAACTGCTTATTTACAAGTCCAGCAGTTACAGAGAAACATAAGCAACTTTAACACATTCAAGTTAAATATTCTCTCTCTTTTAGCTCTGTTCTGAGGGTTTCAGTATTGGTGCCAGGCATACAATAGTTGTGGAGGATAGATTTCTCTTAGTTTACAGAAACGGTTATATTTTCATCTTTGTATATTTTAATAAGTACCTGTCTAAACCTCAGATATATAAGACTAAATTGTTTCTTGCTGTAGGCGACCATCTCAACTTGAGGTCCAGCTAACAGTCTGCACATATCACTCTATACACTTGCACCCTTTCTACTTCTATTTCCATATGTTTATTCAAATGTTTACATATTTCATGACACTCTTCTGCACCCTCAGTATGTTCCCTGCCTCTGAAAAGATTATCTATCATGAGACATTACATCCGTGTTGCAATTTGATTCAGCAGTAGTTTTGCTTGTGATATCTCCAGCTTATCTTTTTGATAGATTGTGCTTTTAATACAGCTTGCTAAATCCGCATATTTTGTACATGTTGCAGCTGTAAGTTCAACATATTTGATCAGAGATAATAGAAGATACAAGATAAAAGTAATAACTTCTTGCTGATTTCCTTGTAATACATGTTGGCCATTAGCAACCATGTTGATTCTCTCCCCTACTGTATCACTCTTAGAGGACAATCTGTGCGGCGACAGTATAGAGTGTATTCAGCCTCTGCTTGATGACACTAGTTTATTTACATTAAACCTGTCCATCCGTGGTGGTACTAATGACAGAGTTGCAGGTGGTGCAGGGTCACAGCCATAATTCATATGCCTGATCCCCCGTGGAGCGAATGGTGTGAAACTGCGTGGGCGAGCTGCTGCTCAGTATTCCAGTCACGGCTCGTTTGCATTGAGAGCTGGCCAGGCTAGTCCAGTATGATTAGTTGACCACAGTAGTGTGGAGTTGCACCCCATTATCATTAAACGGTGGCAGTCATGAAGTCATATACTCCTCCCTGTCTCTCTAATTACACCCCCACTGTTGGGCTCCAAGCAATTACTGCCTGCCGCCAGAACGCTTCATCGTTCATTAGGCACGGATAAAGGACACATAAACAACAACAAAAACACGTGAAAAAATTACTCATATTTCTGCTAAACAACAAAATCTTACCTAACAATTGTGAAATCAAAAATGTGTTTTGGAGAAGGCTGCCAACAATAATTGGAAAAGGAATCACATACAGTATACACACAATATTATGATATTTGTCATGTGTCTTATGTCCCTTGACCAACCTTGTTCAGTATAAATGTATTGCATTGTATTGCTTCGTTCTGAAAAAAACCCACATTTTTTAATAGTTTTAACTGTTTCCGTCTTGCTGCCCTGTGTAGTTACAGGTCATGAAAAAAAGGGCTATAACGATAAAGCCGACAAAAAGAAGAACACAATAGGGCATGAGGAAAATAGTTTGAAAACACAGGTGAGATACTCAGGTCTTCTGTGTATTCATATGACCATATTGAATTACTTTTCCAAATGTCTGATATTAGTAATTTTGGAAAATCTTATTTATTTATGTTATGTGATGCTGAATGAGATTTTATAGTAAATAGTTTGTGCTGTCAGATGAAACATTGTTTAGTCAGACTGCAGGATTTTGCAAAGTCTTCTGTTTGACTGGTGAGGGAAATCAATGTATATAGTCAATATAGTTTTTAAAAAGCGGAAATGAATCGGTAACTTGTACAAAACGAGCACTGCTCAAAATTAGTAGTTTATCCTCGATAAGTTTTGCATGAGTTTTTCGGCTGGAAAATAAAATCGACTCTTAATTTTCAGTAAAGGACAAAGAGAGAAAAAGAAAGGCTGAGAATCCTTAGACAATGCAGGGAAAGTGTATTTATCTTGAGCTATTGGTTGTATTTATTCAGTCAACCAAACTGTTGAGATCCTCCTGAGTAAATATTGTTTTAGAGTAAAGCACACCGAGTTTCATTGTGCTTGTTGACTTTAAAAGTACAGTATGCCTGTTCAAACACAATGTCTACCATCATCTTGAATTGAACAATTGCCCAGGGACCCCAGAGTGTGTGAGGGCTATGCAAAGAAAACTTTGTATCACCACAGGGTCCGCTGCTTGCGTCTCTGATTTTCCTTTCAATAGTGTCTTTTGACTAACCTTGTTGCAGAGCAGCCATCGTTGCAGTGCGATTATGAGAAGGCAAAGAGTGTGTATTTTCCTGGAAGCAGGCACCTCTAAATACATTCTAGTTGGTAGAGACTGAGACAAAGCAGAACGAAACGAGGTGTAACGGAGAGTGAAAGACCAGCAGAGGAGTCTGATGGAGAGGGAGGGGGGTCTGACAGAAATGGGGGGGGGGGGGGTTGACAAACCAGATTGGGCAGGTAAGTGGTTTTTGCTGATAAAGAAAGGAACAGGGTCGATTGTCCCCACCACTCTAGCGATAGAGGTGGATGCCATTAAGATAAGGAGGATTAGACCTTCCACCTCGCTGTTCTAGCTGCCAAAACCTGAGGGACAGGTGAAGAGTAAAAGACCCCATCCCAGGGGGTTTGTTGTCACTTTCTGACCAAAGAGAACGATTCATGTGGAGTTAATAGGATATTGTTTGGATTAAGAGCTTTGTTTCTGATCACAGAAACTCTGTCACAAGCTTTTAAAAACAGACAACCACATAAAAAATGTATCAGCGGTGGAGGAAGTATTCAGGTCACTTCAGTGAAAGCCGCAGAACCACAATGTAACAACTGAAAGAAATGTTACGCTGCTCTCATGGCTCCAGCATTTGTTATTATCTTCAGATTATTTCTGCGTTGTTTGACAAAATAATAAGGAACAAAGCTATTTGCCATCGTTAGTGTCACTGGGAAGCCACAGATAATGTATATAATGGAGAACAGACTTTAAAAAAGCTGTATGTCCCAACTACAATGTGCTTCTTCTATCGTTGCAACAGCACACAGTGAATGGAGAGCAGTAAAGCTCAAGAACATGTCTGCACACAATAAACATGTACAATAAGAAAAGCCGACACACTTAAGGAGACATTAAACTGTTATGAAAGAGTCACGTTTGCAATGCATGAGCACATACATGTGGGTGTATGGAGTGCCTAACGACCCGCATCTGTTAAATAACACAACCCAGTCAGGTTTCTGTGGGCTGCCTTGGAGGGAAAACATTGGGTTCAACAAGCCATTCAGATTTGGCTCTCCTTCTCATGTCACATGCAGGCTCATAAAAAAATACTGCCCACCATCAGAGTATCTCCACTAACAGCTTGAAAACGACCATACAAAGGTGTGCCATATTTGTCTCACAAGCCATTCAGAGCAGTGTTTTTGGTAGCTGGGCCTTAAAGGAACAGGCGCTAAAACAAAGTGTTTAGACACAAGGTGAATACAGGTCAATTCAGACCAACAGTATGACTACGATGGTACTTTTTTAGACTTTAAAGCATAAACAAATGTTTAAGTAGAAAACCCATAAGAATCATCCTTTTTACAACGATAACACCTTTAAGATTTTCCCTAAAGCTGGCACATGCATAAGTAGATTACTCTTTATTTGAAATGCCCCTGTTTTTACTTCTTGTTATAAAGATATATGCTCGTCCACGCTCAGGTTTGGCGTGATTGAGAGTAAGGAGTGATATAGACCACATTGACTGCAGCCATCATGCTTTGGTCGCCAGTATTCGAACACATAGCACCTGGAAACGGTGATTTAATGGATGCTGATTTATGAGACAAGGACAGAGACTATGAGGTTTGCTTCAGGTCCGGTTCCTCTGAGTTAGTCAGCAGAGGGACCTTGCATCAGGGGTTTTATTTCCCGGTTGTGCTTAATGACCTGAGCGTTTCTCTGAGGCCTATTAAACACATGCAGTAAATCAACAGAGGAGGAACAAACCAGTTAATCACCAACTTTGTTTTCAGGGGTGAGGGACGGCAATTAATCTAACAGAAGGCAACCGAGCTGCCAGAGAGTGTGTTAGGACGACTCACACTGTCATGTCAGACCGACAGACATCTCAGCAGCCTGGGTCAAACAACAATCAATGCCTCTATTTCATCCAGAAAAACAACGTTATATAACCAACTCTAGCATTGTTAGTGTTTTTAAGATAGGAAAAATGTAGGATAGAATCACCTCGTCACAGTAAATAAGCTTTTACCTCGAAAAACGCTATTGACTTTAAGCATTGCAATTAAAAACTCAAATATTCTGGGCTGGCTAATCCGACAGCATTTAACACGAGACATTATTAACAGGGAGAAGAGAATGTAAAGCAGTGATTACTACTATTGTCAGGCCGCAAGCATTTAAAATTGTAATTTCAGGCAAAAACAGTAGAAATGAAAAAATGTAAAGTGCTTATTTATTAATCTGGCTATAAATGAGAACATGATGTTTTCATATCTAGGTCTTCTGTGTGAGCCACAGAACAATTTGGTCCATGTTGCGCAACCTGGTATTTGATATCATTTTTAGTTATGAGATGTTTTTTTACAAGTAATAATTAAGTAATAATAATAATAATAATAATAATAATAATAATACATTTGATTTATATAGCACACTTATAATCTGTTATCCAACAATAACATCCTTCCCTGCAGTTTCCAAGCAGACATTAAATATTTTTGCCACAGGCTTTTAGCAAAGTTGAGTCGCCTTCTCCATCAAATAAATACAGTAGCATTCATCAACAATAGCCTAATTAAAAAGCTTTCAAGCTTGTTTTTTCCAGATCCACTAATCACTGAGACAGAGCAGTATTTGTTTGCAGCCTGTGTGAGAACAAACATACGCTGCCTTACATCAAATAAATCTCAGATAATCAAGTTTGAAGTTCCCTACTTAAACGGGATTAGACTTATTCTTGCAAAAACCAACTCTTTGCACTTGAGTATATAACATGCAATTTACGGACTATAAACTGCAGCTGAGTAAAGACTTTAATGTTTGCCAGCAGCTTTCTTAAAGCAAGGTAATGATCATGAACAAAATGAGAAAAAAGCAACACATTAGCTGACAAATTCTGCAACACAGAGCAGAAAGCCCCAAACACAGCCGGCAGAAAGCGAAAGGTTGTTACTCCTGGAAATGTGAGGAAACCTTACCAGCACAGCATCGTCCTGAAAGGGAAGTGGGATAGAAAGAGCCCCAAAGCGTCCAACCCTTTAAAAGCACTGATGGTCATTTACTTTTAATAAATTCAGTGGAAACGCATTAGTCAGAACACATGCTTTCCTGGGAACTGGAGAAAAGCTGCTTTTCTTTCAGAGGTATAATTCTAAATGTTCACTTTAAATTCAATGGCACTTTACAGCAGTCACATGGACAGATGTAAGAGTCTCCTGTCTCCTGTACCTGCACCATGGATGACTTCATAGTTCAGAGGGACAAAAAGTGGACACTGTTATATTCGATTACATGCTCTCTTCTGACCTTTTCAAATTCCTCTGAGTACATCTCTGTATTTCCCTGCAGGAATAACATGTAGACTAGGGCCGTGCTCACATGTGAAACAATGCATTACATCAGATGATGACTTAATCCATCTCATGGGGGATGAGGAACGTCATGTCAAGAGTATTTACATTTATTAAAAAGCCTTTTGTTAGAAGATAAAATATTAAATTGTTTATCCTTTTGAGACAACAAAGGGCCATCCAAAGTTTGCCAATGTGTCAAAAGTGTTCTTTTTTTATTGAATTTGTTCTAGGTAAGATATGACTGAAATCCAAAAGCAAACATTTTTGCACATTTTAATGTCAGTATTATACCTTACACCATATTTACTCAAATGATAAACCTTAAAGAAGGAAAATTACATTTCTTAATGTCTGTGAGGCCAAACATCATTTTCAATATTAAGGATATCAAATCAATCAATTATATTGCACTTCACACAATGTCTATATGAGAGGAAACATCCTCTCTGCTAAATAAATCCTTTGAATAAATTATTATCTCAGTTGCGAAACCTCGCCTCTCCGCCGCGTTGCACTCCATCAGTCATGTTGTTGTTGAATGACTGCAAGGTCCCTCACTTATAGCCATTTCTGTGACATTAATCTTCAACATATTTAAATAATGCACATAAAAAAAGGATCTTTAACTTATCAAATGCATGTTCTGTTTTTGGGTTCGATCCACTCAATTTTGTTTACTCTCAGCCACCTGAGCAACTGCTGTGTGCATGAGCTACACACTCTCCTTTTATTATCAGCTAATTAGTGTGGTTAATCAGGCCGATAATGAGCTGGGCACCATGCCATTTCAATCTGACACCAGGCCAGGGTTCAGATCCCAAAGAGAAACACGTTGGGCATCTGAGATCTCCATGAGGACAAGTCTTCCTGGACATGAGATGAGCGAGGGATGACAAGAACAACAGTGGTGTCTCTTTTTAAAGTGATGACAAGGGGGGCATAAATCAATTTTTGTATGGCTACGGGGATATAAGAACAGCTTGAAGAGGTTTAGAAACTCAGTTGCAAGATTATCTGTCTGCAGAGAGCTTTAAAAACACGTTTGTGTTATCTCCCTGCAAGCTTTCCAGATTTTCCTGCCCTTTCCTTTCCAGCTGGGGACACACCACCGGGAGAAAAATGGGAAATGTATGCTCACTGTAACACATCCTGTTGACCCTTCAGATACACACATATCATAACCATCCTCATCCCCTCATAACAAACAGATCCCCAACATCTTATCACGAAAAAACAATGCTGTACTATCACCTCCCATCTGCCTCCTCTCCCTCCTCTTCCTCCCTCTCTCTCTCCCTCCCTCCCTCCCTTCCTCCCTCCATCTGTGTCTTGCTCTCGCTCTCCCTTTGCTGCCTCACTCATTCCCTGAGCAGCACACTGAGCTGGATAACGTCTCCTTCAACCCGCAGCACAGACTCATTTCTCTACACACCAGCTCTGAGTGGATGCTCAGCAGGGGTGTTTGAGATATTAGCGCGCTGTGGGGGGAAACGGCTCAGGGACTTCTACCATCCACATACAAAGGTAAGCCTCTGGATCCTTCAGATTATATTCCTGTTTGCTGAGAAGCACCAAAGCCAAGTTAGCCACCTGAAACTGCAGCCTTTAGGAATCACTCCCGCCAGATCCTCGGCTGTCCCAGGACAGATTTGTAAGAATTTTTTTAAGATTTCAAGTTGTATTTATAGACTTTGAGGTGTACTATACGATAAGTAGCAAAGCAAATTATACTGAACCAGAGAACGTGTGTTGGCAGTCTGACCTGCGAGTTAATCCTTGTTTTGTTTGGAGCAGTACGTTTAGAGAAGAATTGTACCAGTCACTGAACGTAATCTTAATTAATGTGCTTAAAACAAGCAGACCTGAAAACATTCAGCACTGATTGGTCTCAACTTCAGAGAAAGGCTTAATTTAAACCTCTGACCTGTTGGCTTACACCATGCCACTGCTTTGTGAACAGTTATTTCATGCATATAAAATGCATATCTACCTACTTCATGTTGGTAGAAAATTGTTCTTTAATGTTAGTCTAAGTAAATGAACGACCACATGTTTACCAACCGGTCCTCAATTAGGGTTGAATCATCAGTGTCTTCATATAAATCTGTCTTAGCCTGTGTGCATACATGTGTAGAAAATAAAAGCTTTATATCTATTGTTTTCATGATGTAGAAGTTGGTTTCCTGGGAACTTGAAACGGTCAGAGATTTTAGATGTTGAAGTAAATTTAAAGGATCTGGAAGGTGGTACTATTGGTCAATGTGTTTGCTTTAAATGTGTGTGTTTTTGCTTGACTTTAGATCATTTTGGAAATGTAAGCCAGTAATGAATCTTAATATTGTTGCTTAGTCTGCCCATTTTTCTTTTTTATTTGTTGTTGTAACTATTCCCTCTTTGACGCATAATCTGCAGAAGCCTCACTGTGGTTCACGAGCATGAAGCTGGACGATGTTGTGTAGCGCGGCAGCTGGAGGAAGAGAAGCAGATCTTCTCTGTCAATGCAGACTTTTATTTTGTTCCTGGCGTCTTTCTGTTTTTCTTTTTAGTTGCAAATGCACCGTTTATTACCTTGCACTCATAGCAAAAGGCAGCCGTAAAATTGTGGCCCTGGGATTTGTCTCCCAGGCTAAACAAATACTGTCTGCAGTCTGCAATCACAATAAAAAGTACAATTCAAGCCATAAAAAATAAATAAAAATAATATAAAATAATGATTCATATATTTGCTAGGAAGAAAGTAAAAATGTGTCATATTATACTTGATTTAAACAGCATGTTTCAAAAATAATAAAGAATACAGTATATCATCATCAGATAAAACACTATATTCATAATATGTCTACATTACATTTTTTAATATTTAAAATGGTTGGCTGACATAATGTTCTTTTGGATTCACCAAAGGCTTGTGAGTCCGATGTATTGCTCTAGGGAGAATTGTCTTTTTGTAAAGCCATTTCGCCAATTCCTAAAATAGATATTATTTGAATTTTTTTACATGTTTTTTTTGTCATTTTGCTTTATTGAAATGGAAAGAAGCCAGAGACTTATTATGCATGGGGTTATTCATAAATACAATTTAAAATGCCTGAATTCCTCCCAAAAACAGGGAGAAATTAAACAGAAATGGAGCACAGCTCATCATCTGAGGACATTCAAAGATGTAGATCTTGCATTGTGGACTGCACATTATTGCTAAGTGAGGCCTGTCTTTGATGCAGTACAGTATGGCTGGATTGTGCCTCAGAGTCGTTTATGTGCACTGTGATACTGAGGGTGTCAGTGAGTGAAGCTCTAACAAGCCCCTGCCTGCTCTTCATCACTGTAGTGCCAGATATGTGCCCATGAGTATTCATCAGTTAGGGCTAATGGGGCACAGCAGTGTGGACCTCTGATTTACAGCCTGTCCCCTGTCAGGCCTAATGATAGGGCAATGGTGCTGGTTATGGAGAAACAGGTGCTGCAGAGTGAATAGATACAAAGCAATGCTGCTGAAAGCCACGGGTGATTGTGGTTTTGTCCTCTGCACAAATGTTCATTTGCAATATTGTGTTCACACATACATCATAATTGTGCAGAGAAATGAGCTCTCTTGAAGTATGGGCTTAGGCTATGTCTTAAGGCCTAATAGCATGCATGTGTGTGTGTGTTGGGCAAATATTTCATCTGTTTCTGTTCCCCAAATTGTTTCCAGAATTAATGTCATATTAATTATACACAAAAACTGTCTCTCCTATATTAACAACAGATGGAGCTCAATGATTAAGTGGAAAATAATGTCCCTCATGCACTAAACAAAATGTTATTAAAACAGGGGCACTGGGCCCTTGAGAACTATCATTATTAAAGTAAAATAATCATTTCAACAGGCAAGACACTATGTGGCAGAAGGGCTGGGCTATATGGGGAAAGTAAATAATAATATTACTGAGAGAAATTAGTATGATATCTGTTTCAAATTCAAAATGGAAAGAGAAGGTGTTGAATGATTGGTTTAACTCAAATATTGTATAAGACAAACAACAATGTACATATAAAGACAGCTACCAAACTACCTTTACAAAATTGACAATAAATAGCATTACTCATACTGGCCTGCGGCACAAGTCATTAAAATAAAACTCATGTTTATAGCTCAAACATTAGCGCTACTGGACCTATCAAGCTCCCATAACACATACATGCATCACTTATGTTTGTGTTCCTTATTTCTGAGGATTCTTATATTTTTGGCTTGTGAGCAATTAAAACAAAGGTATTTCTACTTTTCACTGTCTTTGGTTGAAGTGTGGACTTTTTTTCTCAGTTCCTGTTTCCTTCCGAGGATTTTTAAAAGATTGAGATATTATCAGCTATTTCACATGACAAAGTCAACTCATTGTTTCCAGGTTGGAAACCAATGATGTCCCTTGCAGCAAACAAAAGCTAATATAGACAAAGCAGTCATTGTGTCAGTTCCTACTTAATCTCCCAGTCCATTATGAGTTGATCTCACATTAAAGTGGACCTATCGTGCTATATTTGAATAATATAGTGTAGGACCATACCTATATAAGGCATATTTATACTTTTTTTTTTTCAAAATACCAAACAGATCATGCATTTTAGCCATGCCTCATTTCGCTCAATTTGAATGTTAGCTCTGTTTTTGCAAGGGCAGATTCTGTGAGAACAGCACCATCTAGAGGCCTGGCATATGTACTACAGCGTCTCCAGCGCTTTCGAACGGCAATGCCGTGGTTGTCTCCTCCTGATTGGTGGAGTTGGCCCAATAGCCGTAGCGCCACCGTCCTGACGTCAGGACAGTGTTCAAATCTGGATCAGTTTTGATCAGATCCGTTGCAGCCCCTTTTTTAGAGATTTGGGTATGGAGGAAAATAGAGAGGGTTGTGTTTTCTGACACTTGGTGAGTTCCCTGGAACACCGGGGACACACATTCATGTATAAAAGACGTACAAAAGTGCATTTTGCATGATAGGTCCCCTTTAAGATAGCATTGATACATTTAAGGAGAATTTCGTCCCGCTTAGTTTTTATTAAGACTATCATGAATTTTAAAGGCCATATTTTGTGTATTCAACATGCTCAAATATAGTTATGCAAAGGCTGCAGAAATAAGCAGAATAGCAAGAATAACTTGTCTAGTGTCAAACTGTGTTTCTGCAACGAGACCAGAACAGTTTCACAACTCCTGTCAGTGAAGTTGTTGTAGGTGTTAAGCAGTTGAAGCTCACTCACTGCAGGTCGGCTGGCACAGTTTACTGATGGATCACTGCCCACACACACATATACACACGCACACGCACACGCACACGCACACACACACACACACACACACACACACACACACACACACACACACACACACACACACACACACACACACCTCTCTCTCTGCCTGGACCATCCCACACTTTAACAGTGTCTTTCCCACAGAGCCGGCAGTCAGGAGGAATATGGGCAAATCCGAAAGCCAAATGGATATCATGGAGAAATCAAGTAAACCTGGAAAGCGCCGTTGGACTGTTGCAGAAATCGGTCTGTCCGTGCTGCTGCTGTTGGTCAGCTGTGCCTTGGCTGGGTTGGCAGTCCTCTACACATCGGTTGTGAAAGGTAATGGATCACTGAGGAAAGATCCAGATATTACAGATGGCAGCATAATGACAAGGGTCTTCCTGCTTTGTATGTGTGACTGCGAGTTGGCATCGACACAGGAAATAATCCTGACCCTAGACGTGCTTTCAGATGCAATATTGATGCACACTTCATTGGCTAACCTTTTTAGAGATTTTTAAAGGTTAGTGTTACTCCAGCAAAATAAGGCTTTCACTTCAAAATACCATACAGTATATCAACTATACACACAGACAGGTTTAATGATAACGATTTTTAACTGTAGGCTCTTTATTTCAGGATTTTGTTGACTTGCAAACACAAATACAACTCTGCCTGGGACATAATTGTGTTTCCCCATGCTTACTGTAAATGATAATTGATCATTATAAGATGCCCTGACTGTGTCTAATGTTTGTACATGTTTCTTCCAACCAATGCAGAGCAATCCAACAGGACAACTTTGTCGAGGAGCACAACAAGTGAAGGTGAGCGTTGGTCGCTTTAAGCTTATAAACTCTACAAAGGTCGCACCGTGGGATAAGTGGGTTTGCATGTGTCATATTGAAGCCTGCACCTCTGATAGTCACTGTAATACTGTAATTCCCTTTACTGCCTGATCAGCATTGCCACACAAAAGTGAAAGAACAAAGTCACTGCTGACACAGACACTGACCGTCACACACAGACCACACATACATCTATTTAGTTTGAGATTTTTCACACAACAACATCCTCCTTGTCTCAGTCTGGGGGTAGTTTGTCAAATGGTGCGCATGCTTTCTCATGAATGTTGACACTGATTTGTTTCAGGCCAGCTGATTCGCTCCAACAGTGTGTGTACAACTGCAGACTGTGTTACTGCAGGTGAGAGGGACTGTTATCTTATTCGCTCTCTTGCTGTTCCGTTATGTAAACAAAGTCAGCCCCCTTTCCTTTCAAAGTATGTTATATCCACATCACGATGTTCACTGTCCTGCCTCCCTCACCTCTCTTGTCTCTGTGATGCCTCAAAGCTGCTCGACTGTTGCAGAACATGGATAAGTCTGTGGAGCCTTGTGATAACTTCTACCAGTACGCGTGCGGGGGTTGGCTGGAGAGACACGTGATCCCGGAGACGAGCTCCCGCCACAGCATCTTTGACATTCTGCGGGACAAGCTAGAGATTGTACTCAAAGGTCAGCTGGGTTTCAGTGGACTGCAGCATGCAGGGCCATGAGGGGGCTTCATTCAGAGATACAATGTCTGCATGCATGTGTTTTGTTGTTTCAGGTGTTCTCGAGACGGACAATGAAGAGGACAGAAATGCCATCAAGAAGGCCAAAGTCCTTTACAACTCCTGCATGAATGAGAGTAAGGCTCTCTTTGTGCTGTCTGAAATTGACAGTTTCTGAAGTTGTTTATGTAGCAGGCTATCACACAGCCAGGATTCTGCAGGGGATCACCAAGTTAAAAGCTTCAAAAATGTAATTTTAAACATTTTGAATTTTAAAAACCTTGAAGAATCTATAGGACCTGCAGATACTAACCAGATGTAGCCTAGCAGGATATCTTACAGAATGTATTACCCTTTTATTGATTTCTCATCCATGGTGGTTAAAAAGAAAAAGTATTTGTCAGTTGCAATTGTTTTTTTCACTTGATGTTTCAAAGATAAAACTAAAAGTCAATCTTAATAATGTGGTTTTCCGACAGAATGAAGGGACTAAAGTGTGGTTGTATGTTTATGATATATATATCATTATATGATATATATTTTTGGTGCAGGCCTCATAGAGCAGCGTGACTCTAGGCCCCTCCTGAGGCTCATCGAGAGTATCGGGGACTGGCCTGTGGCGACAGATGACTGGAACATCACTACCGGTACAAACACAGCCTAATGTCCACAGCTTGTTCTGTACAAACATGCACATGTGCACCTGCAATACGTCCTACTCAGATACATTTGCTCACACATGTAGAATTGCTGTGTACGACTAAGCAATTCTACACAATTGTCAAGAGTCCGACCGAGGCTCTTCATCAGAGCGGTCATGTGTGGAGTTTGGGAGTGTGTTGAGTATAGAAGCAGGTCCTCACTGAGGATTGTAAAGTGGGCTTTAAATAGTCTACACTGCTCTTCCCCAAGCTCCTGGCTCTTGCCACGTTAATTAAATGCAATCATAGACAGATGCTCAAACAGCATTAACCAAACATAGACGCATCTGCACACACAGATTTACACAGATTGCCCAGTTAAATGTGCAGCGGAAGAAGAGGGAGCCTCATTTTTGCATGATGCTAAATTAAATAGTTATTTACAAAATGATTACCTTGTTTAAATTAAACCCCCCCCCCCCCCCCCCCCCCCCCCCCCCCCCCCCCCCCCCCCCCCCACCCTATAATTGCAGAGGAAGCATGGAGCCTTGAGGACACACTGGCCAAGCTTACTGCTCATTTCCACAAGAAGGTTCTGCTGGACATGTATGTGTGGACGGACGACCGGGACTCTCGGCGCCATATAATTTATGTAAGACCACAAAACAACACTTAACAGTCCTGATGTCTTTATAGAGCCATTATGTGTTTGTGTGTCTCTTAAAGGAGTAGTTTCTAATTGTTTTAAGGGGATTCATTGTATGTACTTTATCACTACATAGGTACATAGTCATAGCCATAAAAGCAGAGTGATTGTACTGCTGCATCAGCAACACGTATTTTAGCCACCTTAAAAGGCCAACCAAATAAAATCAGTAATCTATGCCCTCTACTCAATACTCAATTGATAAAAACTGTAATTTAACCTTGAGGAACATGTACTGTAAGTTGCTGGTCTATTACTGTTTCTTTGTACAGTTGTCTGACTTTGTTGTTTAAAAGGGTTGGTTAGAATTCACCAAAGTCCAACAATAACATAAATAATGTTATTTTTGTAAATCTGTTTAGATTGACCAGCCGGGACTTGGAATGCCATCAAGAGACTATTACTTCAACGATGGAAACTACAAAAAAGTAAGTTCTCAAACATATTTTCTGACTACTGTACACTATCACCGATCATGGAGACCATTTTTGTTTTATTCGTAAAATATGGAGAAACCTTTCGCTCGGATTTCTTCCTCCATCATTTAAAATACAATTGGATGAAGGGATTTCCTTTTTTGGTCTTAACATCATTGACAGAATGATAATTATTACTTGTTACAATAAACTGTCAGGTCCATATTATCTCTGGTCTTAATTCTCGGTTCGGTATCATTGAAGAGAAGCCAGCAAGAGTGAGCTAAATATAAAAAAGTCCAAGTTAAAAACCCAGTGTCGACTCTTTTCTAATGAGAATCAGTACTAGCTCATAAAGTCTTTAAATCTAGCAAGAAAGTCGTCAAGTTGTCAACAGTGACAGCCCGTCCTAAATCACAATTCAAAGTTCTCATAGTCCCTGGATTATATATATATATATATTTTTTTTTAAAGTATCATTGTCATTTTCTTCTTATTTGAGTGGTACAACATATTGTAATACAATTCACCTTCATTAATCTGACACAACTGTGATTTGTTGTGGAAAACAGCATTTTATAGCTTGTGATTGCACCGTAGGTTCGAGAGGCCTATCTACACTTCATGGTTTCTATTGCGAAGATAACTCGAGAGGACAGGAACTTGACTCAGGATGACGACCGAGTGTGGGAGGAAATGATACAAGTGCTGGAGCTGGAGACAGACATCGCCAATGTGAGTGCCAACCACAACAGGAAATGGAATTGTGCGACAAAGGCAAAGGAAAAAGGAATAATGACAAGATGAAAAATGAGAACCTCCTCTCTGTTTCAGTTCACTTTGCTGATGAAAGGAGAGAAAATGTGAATATATATAACCAAGATCAGTTTATGGAAAGCTTCTTCCTTCCTGTTTGTTGGACAGGCCACATCACCGGCAGAGGAGCGCCAAGATGTCACCGTTCTCTACAACAAGATGACACTTGGAGAGCTACAGAGCACATTCAACTTTAATGTACGTGTTATTTCATTTGTTTTTTGTACTAAAAGTCACCTATTCAAACACATAAACAATTATGTTACCGCTTTATAAACAAGTACTTTGAGGTGCCTTTGAGCAGAGAAGTTGACAGCTTTTTTACTTGGTAATGATGAACCATAGCTGGCCATTCTTTAAATAAGGCACATTGTTTATACTAGAGTTGAACTAAGACCTGGGTAAGAATATCTGTATCTCACACATGAAAGAAATAGCTCAATTTCTTTTAAATACACCTTCAATTTGCCTTATTGCCAAGTAAGATAAAAAGAGTGACACCGCTTTAATTTCTGTAAATTGATATGAAGCTTACTCGTTAGCCTAGCACAAAAACAGGAAGCGGGGAAACAACAAACACTCTCTCATAAGTAGGTTTGCAAAAACAATTATTTTTATATTGAACAATTAACGTTTGGTCAAGACAATGTCAGAGAAAAGTGTCCAAGTTGTTGTCTTTAAATGTCTTGACTTTGTCCTTAACCCAAACACATTCGATTAACATAAAACTGAGAGCAGAAGGACATCTCTAAAAATGTATTTAATACGCGAAAACATCTCCTACCTCTTTGTTTTGCAGGGTTTTAACTGGACACGTTTTATCCAAGGTGTTCTGGCCAGCGTGTCTGTTGACATCCAGCTGGAGGAGGAGGTGGTGGTGTACAGCTCTCCGTACCTCGAGAAGATGAATGACGTTCTCCCCAAACACAGTGTCAGGTCAGGCCAAGAGGGCTATACAGAATCCATGAAAATGAACATATTACAGAATATTTACAATTCAGTAACACTTTAACAAGATATTGTATAATTTATAATTGCAGGACTATGCAGAACTACCTCACCTGGCAGCTCATCATTGACAGGGTTAATAGCTTGAGCCGCCGTTTCAAAGACGCCAGAGCCCGTTACAGAAAGGTGCGATGACGATGATAAGCCAGCACATATTAAAATGAGCATATTCAAAAACTGACCTACAATGTGTCTGCTGTCTGTGTCAGACTCTCTACGGGACCACTGTGGAGGATGCTTGGTGGCGGGAATGTGTCCGGTATGTCCAGAACAGCATGGAGAACGCAGTTGGAGCTCTGTATGTGCATGAGACTTTTGCTGGAGAAAGCAAACGAATGGTAAGGGCTTCACTTCTGTAACCCCCAGTTTGATGTTCAAAACACACATTATTTTTCTCATACTGTCTTATACCTGAAACGCTTAGTTTTGAAGCCTGCCTGAAATTGTATCAAAAACAAGTTTATTTTGTATCAGGCAGTAAAACATATTTATTTCTGCTGTAAAGTTGAGCATTTTACCATGGGGGTTTATGGAGATTGACTTGCTTTTAGCGCCAGCCTGAAATGGCCATTCAAGGCTAGCTTTTGGCACTTTTGCGTTTATTTTGCAGCGCCAAAAACTGACTGGGTTGCCTTATTTCATTTAAATGTGTTAGTTGATAGGTATGTGCAAAATCACTGAGTATTTCTCTTGGACTTAAAGTGCACTTTAATGCATTTTCTGCTTTTCACACACAATTGTTAGAGTAGTTGTTATTGTCATCGCCCCTTGCATTCTTTGAACATAATTGATTAAATATGTGTTAAATGAACACAATGTACAGTATGTTATACACAAAATATAATGTGTTATTCAGGGCCCCATAACTATGACAGCTTGCTTCTGTATGAGATTTAATTACTTTGTTCACAGGTCAGTGACCTTATCGGTAAGATCCAGCAAGCGTATGTGGAAACACTGGAGGAGTTGAGCTGGATGGATACTCCTTCGAAGGAGAAGGCAAGAGAGAAGGTATCAGAGGAAGCCAAGCCAAAAATATATGGGTTTATCTTCTTTAGATGTTCCATATAATCACACTAATTGTTCTGTATGTCACATAGGCCATGGCAATCAAGGAGCATATTGGCTATCCGGATCATATTCTGCAGAAAAGCAACCAGAAGCTTGACCAGGAGTACGCTCATGTAAGTAAGGACTGGGTCTGTTCCTAAGCCACGCTGGAAATACCTGACATGTCACTGATCTCTGATTGTCCGGTTTCAGCTGAATTTTAGTGAAGAAAACTACTTTGAGAACATCCTTGAAAACCTCAAGTCTGAAGCACAGAAGAGTCTGAAGAAGCTCAGAGAACCAGTCGACCCAGACTTGTAAGCTGCTGATAAATCTGAAAGAGCAAACTGTCCTTATGAACTAAAGCTCCTGTAATCTTTGTGTTTTTGTATGACTTTATGAGACATAAAACATCACAACAGAACGCCATTTAAGATGAGGTCGATAAATGTCGGTTTCATAGATAGTTAACGTGGTTGTTCTGAAAACATAACAAAAAACGTTTCAAAAATGGAGAACTAAAGGTCCTACAGGTGAAGATTGCTCTGTGACATCATTAAGTAATCATTAAAGAGCATTGGTAGTGAAGATTTTAATGTTTTGTTTCATATGCAAAATATGCGCTGTGCATGGATTCTCTAGCATAGTATATACCACTGAAAATGCAGTGTAGTGCTCTTTTCTAAATTATAAACCAATCACTCCTCAGGTGGATCATTGGTGCTGCTGTGGTGAACGCATTCTACTCACCCAACAGGAATCAGATAGGTAGGAGCTTTGCCTCTATGGAAAAATAATAGATGTGTTTTTTTAATGGTTAGTCAGTGACTCCTTAGTGTATTTCAGTTTTATTGTTTCACTCCTGGTGTTTTTGTCTTCCCAGTCTTTCCAGCAGGAATCCTGCAGCCGCCTTTCTTCAGTAAACATCAGCACCAGGCCCTTAACTTCGGTGGAATAGGAATGGTTATCGGACATGAGATCACACACGGATTTGATGACAATGGTCAGACACAAGTTATTCCTCATGGATATTTTGGGAAGCCCAAACTGATAGATACAGTTTAAAATTCCCTGTCATTTTAAAATAACTGTGTATTACTGGTTACACAGGTTACTGTTAGATGCATCATGTTTGGCAAACAATATTTAACATAATGCATTGTGTTTCCTCACAGGGCGTAATTTTGACAAAGATGGTAATATGCTGAACTGGTGGAGTAATTTCTCTGCTGAGCATTTTAAAGATCAGTCACAGTGCATGGTGCAACAATATGGCAACTTCAACTGGAAGCTGGCAGGTGGACAAAACGTAAGCACCCAGTGGCATTTATTAAATGAGATGTTGTGTCTTGGCGTTAATCCCAGAGATTGTAAACTATGTATTAAGTAAAAACCAGAATGAGTGTTTTCATGCCTGTGTGTGTTTTTGGTTTTGTCGGTGTGGCTGCAGGTCAGTGGAATCAGCACTTTGGGGGAGAACATTGCAGACAATGGAGGTGTTCGTCAAGCATTTAAGGTTGGATGTTAGCTGCAAAAATGCCCAACAATTTAAGGAATGAACTAACATATCCTAAATCTCTAAGTGTATGTGTGTATTTACAGGCTTACCTAAAGTGGGTGGAGATGAACGGCGAGGATTCTCGTCTCCCTGGTCTAGACATGGACCACAAGCAACTGTTCTTTCTTAACTTTGCCCAAGTATGTAAGACTAACGAGGAAATGTTGATCCTGGATGTATTAATATAGCAGACAAAGGGACAGACAATCATTTCTCAATCTGGAGTCAAGAGCCAAAGCTCAGAGGGGGGCATTTTTCAGCTTTTTAGTGCTGACGAGTAAACACTTGGACAAAGGGAGAGGGTCAGCTGGTGAAGCAATCTCAAAACACTCACATAGGGGATGGAGAGGAGCTGCCAAAGTAAAGAGCATCTGGGTGCCAGGAAATGTTATGCAGAAAAGCAGAAAACGGTCTTCAATAATTAAACAGGTCAGGACTCCCCATTGGGATGGTGAGTTTCACAATTGGTCCGTTGGTCCATGAGCAAAATAACTTGCTAAACTTGCACCATAAGAGCTTGAATAATTATTAGATTCAAAGTAAAATGATGATATAAACACGAGTTAGGGAAACACTAACTCTATAGTTTGTAAAAAAGGGTTTTAATACTAACAGTCTGCAGAAAGCTTCTTTCAATGGTTGCTTTTTAAGGTCGATTTTGCCTTTATTTTCTAGGTATGGTGTGGTGCTTATCGGCCCGAGTATGCCAGCCAGTCTATCAAGACTGACTCACACAGTCCTTTAGAGTACAGGTAAGGATCTTCAGTATGCTCAGATTTATAAACATTAATATCTTAATCGCTAGTTTGAATGACATAATTAAAACACCACTCTATTGTGATCGTAGTGATGCCAACTCTTCAGATCCTCTCTGCTTGTTTTTGTGCACAGCAAGCAGCTGTTTGAAGCAAAACAACGCTCCAAAAAAACATTATATATACAACCTGCTCAGACAGATTAGTGACCAGCTGGTGAACACAGTGAAGCATTTAGCAGCTAAAGAACCAGATATATTTGTCATGAGTTGATAGAGACTAACAAATAAAACATACACGTAAAAAATAGTTTTTTAGTCAGCCATAAACAAATCAAATGCTAATGGTGCTCCGTCTGGATGTGAAAATAGACAACTGTTGGCTAACAAATGTGTTATATTACCATAACATGTGACAGGATGTTAGTGTTGTGTTCACAGCGGTTTAACCAAAAGTGGCCAAAATAAATCAGATATTTTTAGGTTTAAATGTAACCAGATTTAACATATTTGTACGTCATGCTCACCTGATGTTCTGTGTGATGGACTAAGGAGCTCAGGTTTCAGGGCAGCTTGCCCATTCGCTGATCCAAATGTAAAAACTTGGAAGCTTGATTCTACCTTAGTGCTCCTCTAGCATTCATCACATGTTTCATCTCTTTTCATAATGTTTTGTTTTTCTATCGTCTTTAGGGTGCTTGGATCTCTCCAGAATTTCGAAGCGTTCTCAGAAGCTTTCCAGTGCAAGAAGGGCAGTCTGATGAACCCCGAGCAGAAGTGTCGTGTCTGGTAGAAAGTTTTACTCTTGAGAAAAATATATTTCTTGACTTGGGCAACTCAAATCATAAGAGCAAGTTCTCCACCTTAAACCCACATAGACATCCCTGCTTATTTCCAATGTATTTTGGGCAGAGTAACGACACAGATTTTTGCATATACTGTAGACGGATAACATCCTGGACTACACCCTAGTTTCAAATCATGAAGCATGTATAGTATAGAAAGAAACTTGCTAGAGTATCTTCTCAAGTTTGACGCGGTGTCTCCGGATGAAAAGGTCACTTGTTCTTTCTTTGCTCTGTCCCACGGCAGATGACGAGTGGGTACATGAATATAAAGGCTATATAGAATGGTTGAGGCTTAAATGGCCCGTTTGAAATGCTTTGCCAGCCTTTCTTGAACTACTTCTTTAAAAAATCTCTTGTGCAGATCTTGTGATTGATCCATTATCGTTTGGCGCTAAGCTGCCTTGGTATCTCTACTCTAATGTTTTGTTTTTAAGACATTGTGCCACTTCATAAGAAACAATAGTGAACAAATCTAACTCTGACTGAAGAGTGTGAAATAAATGAAAGCTCAGGGCTTTGCCGAAGTAAACTACAATAGAATTAGTCACACTCTGAGAGTTTGTTCATTCACTGTTACATGAAACAAATTACCTAAAGACTTTAAGACTGTTAAATCTGTGCAGCTTTAACCTTAAATTAACATTCTGAAAGAGCTGCGGCTTTCAACATTTTTACACTTACAGAGTGGATAAACATTTAAAATGTACAGAACTTTTTGAAGGATAATTTTTCTAAGTTTCTTTATCACGTCCTGCAAAAGATTGTTGCTCACTGCAGAATTTTTGTTTGTGTGTCCTTTCCTGTAAGTAACCATATTCCAGATGTTTTGAAAAGTACTAGTCGCCTGCTTCTTTTATAGATAGTGAGAGAACACCTGTGATATTGATAAAAAAAACAACAATGTATATCAGTTTAGATACAGGTTTGGATATACAGTAGGTTGCTAATCACAGCTGTGTTGTGTGCTTGAAGCCCATTCCATCTATCTCTCTGATCTATTCGCCCTGTTACGTCATTTTGAGAGGCTATCAAGCTATGTAAACACATAAAATGTGCCATTTGTTGTATGACACTTACCTACATTTATTCAAAGTTATATTGTCTGCTTGTATGCTATCTGTAATTTTAACTCAACATGGTGATTGATATGTAGAAGAACAGTAATTTACTTCACGATGCGGTCCCCTGAGAGGAGAAGAACACACAGTGATTACACAACTTTTAACCTCTGGGCATACCCAATTACTTGCTGAGGGAAAGGGAGAAGACAAACCCATCACACACACACACACACACACACACACACACACACACACACACACACACACACACACACACACACACACGTCGGCAGGCAGCAGATGAAGTGGTGTGCCCTGTGATCTCACATTGATCAGTGCTGTGTAAGATGAAAGGATGAAGTGCAGTGTGCTGAAGCGTGGTGACCGCTGTAGCCGAACAACCCGCCAGCAGCCAGACACACACCGAAGAATGGGGCTTGTCATTAAAGAGATGGCCAGGGCCAGGACTGTTATTTTCTACCTTTATTATCAAGTAATGACAGGAGAATCAAAGCAGAGCAGAACTCATAAGAGAGGTACTGTCTGCAGTACAAACAGCAGAAACACAAACAAACAGGCGGTTTTTTTTAAGGTTTGCTTGTCACTGGACACATTCAGGATGCCTTGGTGAACTGAACACGACTTTTAGGTCTCAACAGAGGCTGCAGAATTGAATGTGCATATTGAAGCTTTAGTCTGTCTTTACATATTGGCAAATACTGTTGTGTTAAGCAGAGGGAGAGGACACTGATAAAAAAAAAAAAAGGACTGTTTACTCAGAATGTATTTGGTGATAGTGTGCTGCCATCACAAAGCAAAAGGTTTGACATTTTGGGAGATGATTAACCTGGATAAGAAATTGTCTGTTAATTATAAGCAACAGTCAGATGGCCCAGTTAGCTTAGCGTAAAACAGGAAAAAGGGAGAAACAGCTAGTCTAACACAGCATCCACACGGCAGCGTGCGTTGAAGCTTGCCGGCGGGCGTGTCTGAAGCTCGACCAACAACCAATCACATGAATATCCCGCCCCGGACACACAAGCACGCGGTTTGATTGGCTAGAGCTTGTACTGGCATATGATTTGATTGGCAGACACTTCCGTCGAAGCTTGAAAAGTTGAACTTTTCTCAACTTTTGAAGCGAGCAACGGAGGCAAAGCGAAGCGACGGAACCACAATGCAGTTCGGCAAAGCGTGACGTCACCCCATTCAAAGTGAATGGGAAGCAGCGTTGAAGCTTTAACGCACGCCTACGTGTGGACGGGCCGTAAGGAGCAAAAACAGACGTAAGCCATTGAAAAAAAAAACGGAACAGAAAAAGAAAACATCGGCACTGATAAACTTATATTTGGCAGGCATTTGTGCTATAAACCTAACACTTGTTGCAGCGGACGTGAGTAAAAATTAAACACTAAATAGAAACGGTAAGGAAACCTTCACTGAAGATACTCCTATTAACAAAAAAATAGGAACACAATAAGATATTAGATTGTAGTTATGTCATCAAAATGACAAGTGTGGTATACTTTCCTGGAGGTTCGTTTTTTTTGTAATTCTTGTGTTTTATTTTTGTCATAATTTATTTTGGAAAAAAAAACATTTAATTCAATGGCAAAATGTAAATTCACTGTCTGGACTCTAAAACATTCTGTCTCTATTCAATGGTAACAAAATCTGCCTTCCAGTTCCTTTGAAATTGACAAGCTAATAGTTAAGTGAAAAACAATATGCATTGTATGTAGTTCTCATCTCCCTACGGTCACTGAAAAAGTTTACGAACAAATGCCATAAAGAGAGCGAATATAAGAACTCATGTGCAGCATAACAAAGTGTTTTTACGGTGCTTTGTTGTGCAAAAATATTATTTTTTAAGCAATAGCTGGGCAGAAATAGTTGTTCAGACTACAATCACTGGGATAGTAAATTGATTTTTCAAAACATTTATTGGATGTTTTATGACAAATTTGTTATCTATAGTTCAGCTGTAAGCTTTCATTTTTCAGCTGCTCTTTTCGCTTTTTTCGGCCATTTGGTCGTAACGTTTTCTGTGAAATTAGAGAGCCTACTCTGTATAAAAGATATCGTTTTAGATGAATGAAAAACTAGTGTAAAAAGATAAATTAATGATTAATTATCATCTCAACTAGACTATTCTCACAAATGTAAATACAGATTAAGCAGTCTGTCTGCTAGGCTAAGCTAATCGGCTGCTGTAGCCTTACAACAGACAAAATACATGAGTATCAATCTTCTTATCTCACTCTTCTCCAGAAAGCAAAAGAGCGTATCTCCCAAAATGTCAAACTACTCATTTAAACAAGGCACATGTATCTTGTCTGGTTCAGAGAAATACTGAAGGATAAATCACGAGGTACGGATTTATCACGGGTTGCTGTTTGAAGGGCAACAGTTTGGACTGGACTGTTTATCAGGTTTCCTCAAAAAGAGTCAAACTGTTCAAAATAGTAAGCTGAACTCTAAAGGGTAAATATACAATGTGTTATTGTAGATACTTGATGTTCTATACTGCAGTATTTACATATTAAAGTTTTTAATTAGGTAAGAGAAGAACCTCTTACCATTGTTTTAGCTTCACATTTACGTACATGTTGAAATTGTGTCGTTTTGAAATTACCAGCCAAGTACAAACACATTTTTGTTATATATGAAAATATGTATACCCATCAGAAGAGTTTATTTATCTATATGAATATTTATGAAATACCATTGTTGCTTTGCAAGATTTTAGACGTTAAAGATGTTTTCTGAATGTTCCTGCTGCTATGTAATTATCTAGATTGCCATTAAAGTGACTGTCTCAACTGGTCTGATCTCAAATCTCTACTTTGAATGTGTTATATTAATTTAAAGGTCACCGATTGTGCAAAATCCACTTTTTCATGTCTTTCATACATAAACATGTGTCCCCTCTGTGTAAAGAGATTCTGAAAGTTTCAAGAAAAAAGATTCGCTCACTTTTTGTCCTGATCCATTTATATAAAAACCTGTCTGAAAATGAGCTGATCAGATTTTGGCCACTTTATGACGTCATAACGATGTTTTGCCTTGTGTAACCATTAGCCAATCACCAACCAAGGTAACCCCCCCCACCTTATCACCTGCATCTCCTCCTAGAGCACCATTGTGTTCTTTTTAACCATATATATCTCAGAGGGGCGTGGGGGAGTGGCTCCTTATTTTCATCTAAAGTAACAGACAGAGAATCAGCACTTTTGAAACAGGGCTGAAACAGAGGGGTTTATGGGATGCTGCAATGCATGATCTGTTGGGTATTTCGAGCCAAACACTTCGGAGACATGTTTTGTATATATCTGAGACCTATAATATATTGATGAAAAACAGTATAATAGGGGACCTTTAATGTACTTTGAAAACATTTAGGATTCACTATCATCTTTGCAAAGGTAACACAAAATTGAAATGGATTAAAATATCTTTGGACTCTGCTTTTTATTTATTGCGAGCAATTGTGTGACTTTTTAAATATCTGATCTTAACTAATTGTTTAAGCATCTGGTAAACACATTGATAGAGAGTAAATACTGCAGTGGATATAAAGTGTGAAAGGGTTGTTGAAGGCGAGTAAAAGTAATCACTATAAAGGTAATGTGTAAACGTGTAATGGAGCCATTAGAGTTTTAAATTATGGATGTAGTGAAAGTCAGTATACCCGTTGGTCATGTCAACAAGTTAATAACGCCTCAACTTGTATTAGAACTTTACTCGTGTCTGTATCAAAGACTTATTGACTGAAAGCCAAGTGTGAATTTTAAAAGTTTATTATAATTATAAGCATATAAATAATTATTTATTTTACAAAATGAGTGTAATAAATGTAAATGAATAAAAGTTCTAATTTTACTTAGGTTCAAAACATTAATGACATTAAAAGTAATGATTATAAAATGAGTGTCACTGTTACTGTAGATAAACAGTAATATATTGTGCAACTGTGACAAATGAATTGCAAGAAATTATTAAAACGTGTTCACTTTCTGAGGAATCTCCATTCGATTTGTAGATTATCATCTGGTATGACTGGCATCTCTGTCATCATCGTGTACAAACATCATCATTGCACTGCAAGAGAGGAGAAGTTATGTCAATATCATTTATATAGCCCAATTTGACAAATTGCCTACAATCTGTACATTTTATGACACACCTTGATAAGACATTTGAAAAGAAAACGGGGGGAACAATTGAAGAAACCTCAGGAAGAGCAAGTGAGATGATCCCTATCAGGAAGGACAGATGTGGAAAATATTGTGTGTGTATGGAAGACCTAACATTATAAAATGATACTACAGATACAAATATGAACATATATAAAGAAAATGGTCTGCGAGGATATCAAAAAAGGTGAGGTTAGGGTTAGGATATGGATTATTGTGTAACTCTGCAGATTATTAGCTATATACAATGCCTGCTGCACTGAATCAAGCATTATTTCCACTGTTGAACACACTAAACAAACTAAAGTGGAAGAAATGATATTGAAAATGTGTTTTTACTGATGTTTCTAGCCAGAGACAAGGCCAATTGATGAAATAACATCAAACATTGTTTTAATTGGCTCGTTAGGAGAAAGCAAAATGCTCATGTTAAAGATAATGTTAAGCATGTTGCCTCCACACATGAGTAAGGCAGTCAGTAAACATGGAAGGAAATGAGACGATGGTATGATCTGATGATGTTGTGGTTATTATGTGACGACTAATAGACAACCATGATGCCAAATGTGGCCCCCGGGCTTCAGAAAATGACATCTGTTTCTGGTCTTCAGACAGGTCATGAGGAAGATTACTGTACGTCTTGCAAAAGCTCTGACATGGTGGGTTCTGGGGGAAGGAAAGCAACAGAGCCGGGGGCCATGTGCGTTGAAGAGCATGTGCTGGATGTCGTGGTCATGCTGAAAGTCCCGACGGTCACAGGACAAAACATCTGATGCTCTGGACACGAGATAGTATGTCCATGACCTCAGAGCAATTTATTTCTAAATGTGCTTTATAGTATAGAGCAGGGACTACATTTTCAATCCTACTTTCTCTTTTCTGTTTATTATATTACAATACCATCAAACCAGAATCTATGTGGCTCATACCTTCTTCTAACAGTTTATACATTTAGATTCCTGTTGGTTTAATATTGTATGTTTATTTTGCACACTCTAATTGGTAATCATTTTTTACCATTGGCATGGCAATGCTGACCCTTCTCTGTTGGATTTTGTTAAGACTACTTTGTGGTATTGTTATAACCTGTGGGTTTGTGTTTGCAGAGGTCATTTTAGGTACAATACAGACTGCGATCATCATTCAAGTTTAAAGGGTTTTATGACACGAACCTAACAGACCATGAAGATGGAGTAATAAGTGTGAAATTGCCTTTGAAAAGGATACTCTGATGTGTTTGTTGCTACTGACGTAAAACAGAGTCTGCTGAGGAAGAAACTGACTGACATCAGTTCGGTACGGTTTAGTAAACACAATGATACCATTTTATTCAAACCTTTGGTTGGAGCGTTAAGTTTAATCATGGTCACAAATAGAAAATGAAAAGTTTAAGTGGGGAAGTACAGAAAAAAGAGGATGAATATAGTGTGTATCTAAAGAATATAATGTGTTTTTTCTTGTATGGTTATGAGGTGTCTTACCACTGGCATCTGTCCTGCCTTTGCATTGGCTGAGATACCCAGAGCCTTGCAAATATCCTCAAGAGCTAGGTGGTCTCCTGGTGAGTCCTGGATGAAGTGCACTAGAACCTTTTCTCCACCTTGGAAGAGAAAAACATATATTTAGGAGAAATTATCATATAAACAGCTTGTCAAATGAATTTGCTTCTGTGAACTCTGACACATAAAAGCAGTTATAAAACAGCTCGGACTAAAATATTTAAACATATTTCAAATTGATTTGTTACTGGTAAATATGCACAACATAGTTTCTCTTCAAAGCTTTTTAATCAATACCTTTGAGTAGAATTAAGTAAATTGTCTCTGAAACATTTGCATTTAGGCCTAACCTGCTTCAAGCAGCGAGTACTCAAACAGGAGTAATGCTCGTGAGAAATGTCACCAAACAGGAATTTTGTTGAAGTCATGATTTTCAAATTGAGGTGTCAGACAGAATTATCTACTTTCCCTAGCTGCTTTTTCTCCATAACAATAAGCTGCCCATACCACACCATAAAAACAGTATGAGCACACTTAGAGAGAGAGTTGGTATGATCGGGAACATTCAAAAACAACAACAGAAAATGTCTCTTTATTATGTAGACTCATTAACGAGAACTATTAATCCAATGATGATACAAGAAATAAAGAAGTGTGGAAAGTCAGCAGCCCTGGAGAGCACAGGCGTTTAGAGAGCTTCCTATAGACTTCCAGTAATGCAGCATTGCCCTCTAGAGGAGGATTTGAGAAATTGCATGTCTTTGACCTTTTATTTATCTTCAGTTTCCAGCCTTATCAATGCAATGCTAAAAGGTAATATACATGTTTACATTCCCCAGTTCAATAGGTGTATTTTTCCATTTACTCACAAAACAGACCCTCACAAGCACCCCCTCTGCTGTAAACTGATCGTACCTTTGGCCACAATGAGCATGCCTCCACTCTGGAGCAGATCTCCTGAGAAGTTTCCCTGGATGCCTTCAGCACTGGCCTGAGAACAGCAGAGAAAACAGGCGGTCAGATGTCAGCGTGTCAATCAGCTTCTGTTTTTGTAGGATATACATTATGAACCATGAAGTCATGATCTGATATGGAGTTCCTTTATACCTTTGAGGCTACATCTCGTACTTTCTTCCCCAAAGCAGCAGGAACCAAACTTAAGGCTGTGTATCTGAGTGTGAGGAAACACCATTTTTAAATTAGAGATCATCACAAGTCATCTAATCTTTTCAAAGGAGAGAAGATTAGTGGCGAGCCCTGATAATGTTATAATTTCACACATCCCAAGGAGATATATCAAATGTTTAATTAATAAAACATTTCAAAAACCAATGATATTCAGTTTACCATCAAATAAGACCAGAAAAGTCTGCTCTAAACAGTTCATTGATAATCAAAGTAGCCACAGATTAATTGTTCTTAAGTATGTAAATTGAGTTAAAATAATCTTTAACAAATAAAAGCATTTGACATCAGGGTCAAAGCAAACGTTCATATAAAACAAACTGTTTCTCTATTACTTTAAGATAAAAAAAGATTTTAACTCACCTTTTGAAGCCCAAATCCTTGTAGCTTTTCTTATGTTCATCAACATAAACGGCTAAAAGAAGAAGATTATATATTTACTATCCCACAAAAGGACTGGCTGTTAAAAGTATGTCTAGATCCTTGTGACACACCCAATGTTTTATGTTACATTACATGATTACATGATGCAACATGAGTTTGGTTGTGCAAGGGTGACAATGCATCTTCTTTAAGTTATAATGAAGGTTATGGTTTTGTTTTTTTATCCCTGTACAGAAGCCAAGGAGTGCTTCAAAGTCTCATACATTGTACATAAAAATACGTACAGTACAAAAGTAGAAGTGCAGAAGGACTCCTTTCAAATTGCTATATTTTTATAACATCTTACATTAAACTAACAGCTAACAAATACATGTAAGAGCATTTCATTGCTGTAGTTAGTCAATGACTGTAGAGTACATTTGAAATACTTTGTATACTACGGGGCAGAAAAGTAATAAGACTGCGTTATATCATATATGCATTTCCCGTTTTTGTAATGGTAAGTAGAATTAAATATAACATATAATGAGAACATGTACTTTAATGAAGTACTTGAGAAA